CAAGTTGCCGTGCCGAAAGAGGCATGTCTGAGACTGCTACTTCATCAGGAAAAAAGAGCATTCGTAAATAAAGTCTGTTCTGTTTCTGATGTCCTTTTGCTTTATCACTCTTACCTCCCTCCCTCTCTCTCTCTCTCTCTTTCTCTCTCTCTCTCTCTCTCTCTCTCTCTCCCTCCTCTCTCTCTCCCTCTCCCTCCCTCTCCCTCTCCCTCCCCCCTCTCTCTCTGTTTGTTTGTGTGTGTGTATGTATGTGTGCGTGCATGTCCATCTGCCCGTCGATCTTTTTTATCTATCCGTTAGTCTGTCTATGGCAGGGTTGACATTGTCTGGAAAACTGACAGGTAGAGTCAGCTTCTGTATACATCCGCAGGAATCGGTGCACACCTTAACTCACATTTCTGTGCCAAGATTCTGCTGCGGGCCATATCTGCACAGTGGTCGGGGAAGATTTATCTCCAGATTCATCTGAGAAACAAGACTTGGCAGCCACTTTCGATACCCCCATTTCTCTCTCGGCTGGTTGTAATACATACATTCACGTGCGCACGCGGGGATTCTAGGGCGATACTAGATAAGATAGGGAAGGAGAAACCTAGTTGTTGCTGCTTCAAGTGTTGGCCCCGTCATTGACTAGTGGTTGTTGTTGTTGCTGCTTCAAGTGTTGGCCCCGTCATTGACTAGTGGTTGTTGTTGTTGTTGTTGCTGCTTCAAGTGATGGCCCCGTCATTGACTAGTGGTTGCTGTTGTTGTTGTTGCTTCAAGTGTTGGCCCCGTCATTGACTAGTGGTTGTTGTTGTTGTTGCTGCTTTAAGTGTTGGCCCCGTCATTGACTAGTGGTTGTTGTTGTTGTTGCTTCAAGTGTTGGCCCCGTCATTGACTAGTGGTTGTTGTTGTTGCTGTTGTTGCTTCAAGTGTTGGCCCCGTCATTGACTAGTGGTTGTTGTTGTTGTTGCTGCTTCAAGTGTTGGCCCCGTCATTGACTAGTGGTTGTTGTTGTTGTTGCTTCAAGTGCTGGCCCCGTCATTGACTAGTGGTTGTTGTTGTTGTTGTTGTTGCTTCAAGTGATGGCCCCGTCATTGACTAGTGGTTGTTGTTGTTGTTGTTACTGCTTCAAGTGTTGGCCCCGTCATTGACTAGTGGTTGTTGTTGTTGTTGCTTTAAGTGTTGGCCCCGTCATTGACTAGTGGTTGTTGTTGTTGTTGCTTCAAGTGATGGCCCCGTCATTGACTAGTGGTTGTTGTTGTTGTTGCTTCAAGGGATGGCCCCGTCATTGACTAGTGGTTGTTGTTGTTGTTGTTGCTGCTTCAAGTGTTGGCCCCGTCATTGACTAGTAGTTGTTGTTGTTGTTGCTTCAAGTGTTGGCCCCGTCATTGACTAGTGGTTGTTGCTGTTGTTGCTGCTTCAAGTGTTGGCCCCGTCATTGACTAGTGGTTGCTGTTGTTGCTGCTCCAAGTGTTGGCCCCGTCATTGACTAGTGGTTGTTGTTGTTGTTACTTCAAGTGTTGGCCCCGTCATTGACTAGTGGTTGTTGCTGTTGTTGCTGCTTCAAGTGTTGGCCCCGTCATTGACTAGTGGTTGTTGTTGTTGTTGCTTCAAGTGTTGGCCCCGTCATTGACTAGTGGTTGTTGTTGTTGTTGCTTCAAGTGTTGGCCCCGTCATTGACTAGTGGTTGTTGTTGTTGTTGTTGCTTCAAGTGTTGGCCCCGTCATTGACTAGTGGTTGTTGTTGTTGTTGCTTCAAGTGCTGGCCCCGTCATTGACTAGTGGTTGTTGTTGTTGTTGTTGCTTCAAGTGATGGCCCCGTCATTGACTAGTGGTTGTTGTTGTTGTTGTTGTTGCTGCTTCAAGTGTTGGCCCCGTCATTGACTAGTGGTTGTTGTTGTTGTTGCTTCAAGTGTTGGCCCCGTCATTGACTAGTGGTTGTTGTTGTTGTTGCTTCAAGTGTTGGCCCCGTCATTGACTAGTGGTTGTTGTTGTTGTTGCTTCAAGTGTTGGCCCCGTCATTGACTAGTGGTTGTTGTTGTTGTTGCTTCAGGTGTTGGCCCCGTCATTGACTAGTGGTTGTTGTTGTTGCTGTTGTTGCTTCAAGTGTTGGCCCCGTCATTGACTAGTGGTTGTTGTTGTTGTTGTTGCTGCTTCAAGTGCTGGCCCCGTCATTGACTAGTGGTTGTTGCTGTTGTTGCTGCTTCAAGTGTTGGCCCCGTCATTGACTAATGGTTGTTGTTGTTGTTGCTTCAAGTGCTAGACCCCGTCATTGACTAGTGGTTGTTGTTGTTGTTGTTGCTTCAAGTGTTGGCCCCGTCATTGACTAGTGGTTGTTGTTGCTGTTGTTGCTGCTTCAAGTGTTGGCCCCGTCATTGACTAGTGGTTGTTGTTGCTGTTGTTGCTGCTTCAAGTGATGGCCCCGTCATTGACTAGTGGTTGTTGTTGTTGTTGTTGCTTCAAGTGCTGGCCCCGTCATTGACTAGTGGTTGTTGTTGTTGTTGTTGCTTCAAGTGTTGGCCCCGTCATTGACTAGTGGTTGTTGTTGTTGTTGTTGCTTCAAGTGTTGGCCCCGTCATTGACTAGTGGTTGTTGCTGTTGTTGTTGCTTCAAGTGTTGGCCCCGTCATTGACTAGTGGTTGTTGTTGCTGTTGTTGTTGCTTCAAGTGTTGGCCCCGTCATTGACTAGTGGTTGTTGTTGTTGTTGTTGTTGCTGCTTCAAGTGCTGGCCCCGTCATTGACTAGTGGTTTTTGTTGTTGTTGTTGCTGCTTCAAGTGCTGGCCCCGTCATTGACTAGTGGTTGCTGTTGTTGTTGTTGCTTCAAGTGTTGGCCCCGTCATTGACTAGTGGTTGTTGTTGTTGTTGTTGCTGCTTCAAGTGTTGGCCCGGTCATTGACTAGTGGTTGTTGTTGTTGTTGCTGCTTCAAGTGTTGGCCCCGTCATTGACTAGTGGTTGTTGTTGTTGTTGCTTCAAGTGTTGGCCCCGTCATTGACTAGTGGTTGTTGTTGTTGTTGTTGCTGCTTCAAGTGTTGGCCCCGTCATTGACTAGTGGTTGTTGTTGTTGTTGCTGCTTCAAGTGTTGGCCCCGTCATTGACTAGTGGTTGCTGTTGTTGCTGCTTCAAGTGTTGGCCCCGTCATTGACTAGTGGTTGTTGTTGTTGCTGCTTCAAGTGTTGGCCCCGTCATTGACTAGTGGTTGTTGTTATTGCTGCTTCAAGTGTTGGCCCCGTCATTGACTAGTGGTTGTTGTTGTTGTTGTTGCTGCTTCAAGTGTTGGCCCCGTCATTGACTAGTGGTTGTTGTTGTTGTTGCTTCAAGTGTTGGCCCCGTCATTGACTAGTGGTTGCTGTTGTTGCTGCTTCAAGTGCTGGCCCCGTCATTGACTAGTGGTTGCTGTTGTTGCTGCTTCAAGTGCTGGCCCCGTCATTGACTAGTGGTTGCTGTTGTTGCTGCTGCAAGTGATGGCCCCGTCATTGACTAGTGGTTGCTGTTGTTGTTGTTGCTTCAAGTGTTGGCCCCGTCATTGACTAGTGGTTGTTGTTGTTGTTGTTGCTTCAAGTGTTGGCCCCGTCATTGACTAGTGGTTGTTGTTGTTGTTGTTGCTTCAAGTGTTGGCCCCGTCATTGACTAGTGGTTGTTGTTGTTGTTGTTGCTTCAAGTGTTGGCCCCGTCATTGACTAGTGGTTGCTGTTGTTGTTGTTGCTTCAAGTGTTGGCCCCGTCATTGACTAGTGGTTGTTGTTGTTGTTGTTGCTTCAAGTGTTGGCCCCGTCATTGACTAGTGGTTGCTGTTGTTGCTGCTTCAAGTGCTGGCCCCGTCATTGACTAGTGGTTGCTGTTGTTGCTGCTTCAAGTGCTGGCCCCGTCATTGACTAGTGGTTGCTGTTGTTGCTGCTGCAAGTGATGGCCCCGTCATTGACTAGTGGTTGTTGCTGTTGTTGTTGCTTCAAGTGCTGGCCCCGTCATTGACTAGTGGTTGTTGTTGTTGTTGCTTCAAGTGTTGGCCCCGTCATTGACTAGTGGTTGCTGTTGTTGTTGTTGCTTCAAGTGTTGGCCCCGTCATTGACTAGTGGTTGTTGTTGTTGCTGCTGCAAGTGATGGCCCCGTCATTGACTAGTGGTTGCTGTTGTTGTTGTTGCTTCAAGTGTTGGCCCCGTCATTGACTAGTGGTTGTTGTTGTTGCTTCAAGTGTTGGCCCCGTCATTGACTAGTGGTTGTTGTTGTTGTTGTTGCTTCAAGTGTTGGCCCCGTCATTGACTAGTGGTTGTTGTTGTTGTTGTTGTTGCTTCAAGTGTTGGCCCCGTCATTGACTAGTGGTTGCTGTTGTTGTTGTTGCTTCAAGTGTTGGCCCCGTCATTGACTAGTGGTTGTTGTTGTTGTTGTTGCTTCAAGTGTTGGCCCCGTCATTGACTAGTGGTTGCTGTTGTTGCTGCTTCAAGTGCTGGCCCCGTCATTGACTAGTGGTTGCTGTTGTTGCTGCTTCAAGTGCTGGCCCCGTCATTGACTAGTGGTTGCTGTTGTTGCTGCTGCAAGTGATGGCCCCGTCATTGACTAGTGGTTGTTGCTGTTGTTGTTGCTTCAAGTGCTGGCCCCGTCATTGACTAGTGGTTGTTGTTGTTGTTGCTTCAAGTGTTGGCCCCGTCATTGACTAGTGGTTGCTGTTGTTGTTGTTGCTTCAAGTGTTGGCCCCGTCATTGACTAGTGGTTGTTGTTGTTGTTGTTGTTGCTTCAAGTGTTGGCCCCGTCATTGACTAGTGGTTGCTGTTGTTGTTGCTTCAAGTGTTGGCCCCGTCATTGAGTAGTGGTTGTTGTTGTTGTTGTTGTTGCTTCAAGTGCTGGCCCCGTCATTGACTAGTGGTTGTTGTTGTTGTTGTTGCTGCCTCAAGTGCTGGCCCCGTCATTGACTAGTGGTTGTTGTTGTTGTTGTTGTTGCCTCAAGTGCTGGCCCCGTCATTGACTAGTGGTTGTTGTTTTGTTTGATTGTAGGCGAGGATCAGAACATCGACGGCGACGACAGCATGGCCTTCTCAGGAAGGGACAGGTCGCGGACAACAGAGGTCAGTGCTACTCAAATGTCGTTGTCTACTCTGTGTCTGTCTACTCTTTGTCTGTCTACTCTTTGTCTGTCTACTCTGTGTCTGTCTACTCTGTCTGTCTACTCTGTGTATGTCTGCTCTGTGTCTGTCTGCTCTGTGTCTACCCTGTGTCTGTCTACTCTGTGTCTACTCTGTGTCTGTCTACTCTGTGTCTACTCTGTGTCTGTCTACTCTGTATCTACTCTGTGTCTGTCTGCTCTGTGTCTACTCTGTTTCTGTCTACTTTGTGTCTACTCTGTGTCTACTCTGTGTCTGTCTACTGTGTCTACTCTGTGTGTCTACTCTGTGTCTGCCTACTCTGTGTATACTCTGTGTCTGTCTACTGTGTCTACTCTGTGTCTACTCTGTCTGTCTACTCTGTGTCTCTCGCTCGCTCCTGTCCACCTCATATTAATATAGATTACACGCAGAGTGGCTAGCTTCACTGGAATGGTCACGGGTGGTAAGCATACTTTGGATCTTTTCTCCAGTCCATGAAGGCTTGGTGGGTAATGAACAGGCAGACAAATTGGCAGGATCCGCACCACTGGGTGGTGAACTGATACATGACAAGGCAGATGTGGTCAAGGCCCTTTCTGAACAAGCAACGGAATCGGTAAAGAAAAAAGATTATTATGGGCTGGAGAGAATGAGGCACCTGAGTGTAACCAGAGGGTCTGGCCGGCTCACTACACTCGGAGGAAAGGCAAGACGGACTTTTAACCAGATTGTGACCGCTACCATCAGTATTGGAACTCTGCGCTGGCTGCTGAAGATGAGGACGGGGCATGCATGGGAATGCCTTGAGTGCTGTGATGTCATTTCTGGACTCAACTCAACGCCACCTTAATAATAGTATGCTATGTGTATGAGATATTTCGCCTACATTTACATAGTGATTGTACTAGAATAGTGATTGTACTAGAATAGTGATTGTACTAGAATAGTGATTGTACTAGAATAGTGATTGTGTTGATGTGTAGGTATGTTTCTACCATAGTGATTGTACTAGAATAGTGATTGTGTTGATGTGTAGGTATGTTTCTACCATAGTGATTGTACTAGAATAGTGATTGTGTTGATGTGTAGGTATGTTTCTACCATAGTGATTGTACTAGAATAGTGATTGTGTTGATGTGTAGGTATGTTTCTACCATAGTGATTGTACTAGAATAGTGATTGTGTTGATGTGTAGGTATGTTTCTACCATAGTGATTGTACTAGAATAGTGATTGTGTTGATGTGTAGGTATGTTTCTACCATAGTGATTGTACTAGAATAGTGATTGTGTTGATGTGTAGGTATGTTTCTACCATAGTGATTGTACTAGAATAGTGATTGTGTTGATGTGTAGGTATGTTTCTACCATAGTGATTGTACTAGAATAGTGATTGTGTTGATGTGTAGGTATGTTTCTACCATAGTGATTGTACTAGAATAGTGATTGTGTTGATGTGTAGGTATGTTTCTACCATAGTGATTGTACTAGAATAGTTATTGTGTTGATGTGTAGGTATGTTTCTACCACATCCCAGTCACCAGACTCTATTTACCACTTCTGTGGGGGTCATCTGAGCCTAAGGATTTGTGGCCGCGTGGCTAGTGCAGGTTGTCACCAGCTAAATGACTGACGTTCAGACCCACCAGGACCACACGGCGAGCGACAAACACCTGATGATACAAAATGCCACCATTCGGAAGATAATCGCTCCGGGTACAAGTCCAGAAAACCTGTTCAACCCCTAGGTTATATGACGATGGCCGGGTGGGGCTTCGAGTTGACCAAATATAGGGTGGTGTATTGTGACGGATTAACTGACTAGATTGTCACGAGCTGAGGAGGTTTGGAGTGTTATTTGTCCCTCCGACAGGAAGTCAATATTCTCAGCCTTACCGCTTCCAAACTCTAGTTTCCCGCTGGTGAGTCCAGTGTTTCAACGTTTCGGCCAGCAGCCCCTTAGCATTCCAGCACTTGTAATTAATGTTCAGTTATTGTAGATGATGTTTGCTACCTATTGTATCACCTGTTAAAGGCGGCGTTACTGACATTTGACAAGGATGAGACCAATAGGGCGAAATGTTAGACGGCATGCAGCCCAATTTTTAACCTTTTGCGGATAAAGTACCGTTCTCTCTCTCTCTCTCTCTCTCTCTCTCTCTCTCTCTCTCTCTCTCTCTCTCTCTGTTTCTCTCTCTCTGTTTCTCTCTCTCTGTTTCTCTCTCTGTTTCTCTCCCTCTCTCTGTTTCTCTCTCTCTGTTTCTCTCTCTCTCTCTCTGTTTCTCTCTCTCTCTGTTTCTCTCTCTCTGTATCTCTCTCTCTCTCTGTGTCTCTCTCTCTGTGTTTCTCTTTCTCTCTGTTTCTCTCTCTCTGTTTCTCTCTCTGTTTCTCTATCTCTCTGTTTCTCACTCTCTGTTTCTCTCTGATTCTCTCTCTGCTTCTCGCTCTCTCTCTGTTTCTCTTCTCTCTCTGTTTCTCGCTCTCTCTCTGTTTCTCTCCTCTCTCTGTTTCTCTCTCTCTCTCTGTTTCTCTCTCTCTGTTATTCCCTCTCTGTTTCTCTCTCTGTTTCTCTCTCTCTCTCTCTCTCTCTCTCTCTCTCTGTTTCTCTCTCTCTCTCTCTTTCTCTCTCTGTTTTTCTCTCTCTGTTTCTCTCTCTCTCTGTTTCTCTCTCTGTTTCTCTCTCTCTCTGGTTCTCTCTCTCTCTGTTTCTCTCTTTCTGTTTCTCTTTATCTGTTTCTCTCTCTCTCTGTTTCTCTCTCTCTTTCTGTTTCTCTCTCTTTCTCTCTCTCTTTCTCTCTCTCTCTCTTTATCTCTCTCTCCCTCTCTCACCCTCTCTCAACCTGACTGTCCATCCATCCACCCATCTATATGCACATACATTCATCCAGATTAGAGCCAAAATTCTCTGGTGACAGGGCTTTGTTGAAAAGATTATTGTTCATTGTGTAACTTGCGTACTTTGCTTGTCTTATTTTATTGTGTGTTTCTACGCTACATTGTCTTCTATCTGGTGTTATTTTCTTTCTTTCTTTCTTTCTTTCTTTCTTTCTTTCTTTCTTTCTTTCTTTCTTTCTTTCTTTCTTTCTTTCTTTCTTTCTTTCTTTCTTTCTTTTCTTTCTTTCTTTCTTTCTTTCTTTCTTTCTTTCTTTCTTTCTTTCTTTCTTTCTTTCTTTCTTTCTTTCTTTCTTTCTTTCTTTCTTTCTTTCTTTCTTTCTTTCTGTCTGTCTGTCTGTCTGTCTGTCTGTCTGTCTGTCTGTCTGTCTGTCTGTCTGTCTGTCTGTCTGTCTGTCTGTCTGTCTGTCTGTCTGTCTGTCTGTCTGTCTGTCTGTCTGTCTGTCTGTCTGTCATTGTCTGTCTGTCTGTCTGTCTGTCTGTCTGTCTGTCTGTCTGTCTGTCTGTCTGTCTGTCTGTCTGTCTGTCTGTCTGTCTGTCTGTCTGTCTGTCTTTCTGTCTGTCTGTCTTTCTGTCTTTCTTTCTTCCCCTAACCTGTGGTCTACCACAACTCAGTTCTCATCAGATGTGTGTTGTTTCAACAACATTTCTAATAGAAATCAGATGAGTTCATCCCATTGACCTCAGACCAGGATGGACCCAACCTGGATTCTGTGGCCAGTGCTGGAACCTCAATCACTGACCACCCATCAAGTGAGGCGAGTACAGACAATGGCATACGCTCCATTCCACCACGCTTGTCGAGGAACTCCTCTATATACTCCCAGGATGATACAGGCACCAGACTGTCCTCAATTCATGATGAGGTGAGAGGATGGGGTGACTTTTGGTTAGGTTCGGGGGATAAAGTATATATTGTATGACTTTCTGGTTTGTGTGTGAGGTATAATTTGTGTGAACTCTGGTTCGAATGTGAGGTACAGTTTGTTTATCCTCTGGTTTGGTTTGTGTGCGAGATAAAGTATGTGAAACCTCTGGTTCATGTATGAGGTATAGTATTTGTCCTGATTTGTGTTGAAGTAGGGTTTGTTTGACCTCTAGTTCATATGTTAGGTGTATTTTGTTTGACCTTTGGTCTGGTTTATGTGTGAGGTATAATTTGTTTACTATGGACATGGACAAAACAGAGCTCATAACATAACCCGCTGAAAAGAAAAGAAACTAACACAACTTCCCATGAACCAAGTGAAGAATCTGACATGCTTTCTTAAGCATTCCAAGCCCTCAAACTTCATTGCTGCAAAGATCACCCATCTTCATTCCTCTCTGTGATTGGCCTCTTAGATAACATGGCTTCTTGACAAAATCAGGTTTTACATGTGTTAATGTCAGCACCACGCTGCACCACCCCTCCCCTTCTCTCTCTCTGTCTCTCTGTCTCTGTTTACCCTCACCCCTCCCCCCCACCCCCAAACCTGAGAAACACCAGCGTGGCCAGGTGGAGATACCTTCAGTGTTAAAGGGGGGAGTGAGGTTGGTTGTAAGTACTTCAGCAGCACAATGTTATCTGGCAGATTAGAAGATGAAATTGAGAATAACTGTGATGAGGCAAACTAACATAAAGGGCACTGATACTGAGGAACACAAATGTGTCAGGGTATACTAGAGAACTCCCCAAGTGGGTGCCCCCTGGGAGGGAGGGGGATAATTCCCCCCCCCCCCCGCTCTTTTTTTTAAAAAACAAGTGCTCTAATATTTGGCTCAGAGGGTTGATGAATTTCTATGCATTTGTTAGAGAAGCTCAGATATCTCAGTGTTGCTGTAAAACATATCACATGTATTTCTGAGTTTGTATGTGTTGTATGTGTTGGTTAGAAAGAAGCATATATCACAGCTTTGCTGTAAACCACATCACAGTGTGCTGATTGCTCTTTCAAGGGCGAACACAGAACAAGAAGAGGAAGATATTAAGAAAACCTTATAGTATAATTGTTTTTAGCCAACTCTGCTATCGGTGCTAGATTAGGGTAGTGACAGAAAATGAGAAACAAAAGATAATTGAAATGAGATTTCTGAGAGGGGCATTTAGCAAATCATTGACATGGATGAATATCAGAAGTGATGTACTCACAAAGACAGTGGAGGTAGTATCAGGTGTAATGGTTTGGCCTTTTGTGTCTATTATTCCCCCCCCCCCCCCCCCCAAAATGGGGACCTGTAACCCACACCAGGAACTTGCTCAATGAGGCATTGTATTAGTAGGGCCCAATGAATTAATTCACCATGTTATATTTTCTTGTACTTGTCCCCAGTGAATATATTTACAGTGAAGTGTTTGTTTTTTAAAATCTTGATGGTTGTATCAATTTTATAAATGTATGGCCAAAGTTTGACCTCTGTGGATTAGTTCTGACTTGTTCTCAGGTGACTTGTATCAAATAGTTTAGTGTTTGTTTTGTCTTGTCTGAGTTGTCCTTACATCCTCACTGACTGCCTTCAATTTTGAACAGGTCAACAAGATCTTTGACACTGAGTGGAGGCTGGAAGTGGACACACTGACCACTGACCCGAACGCCAAAGCCCAGGCTGTGAACCTCATGGGAAGAGAAAGTAGCAAGCAGGCTCTGTCTGAGCTCTACCATGTGGATGAGGTGGAGTACTCAAGTATGTAGCAGTCATTGTCTAACAAATCTATTTGAAAACTGCTGTTGACAGAAATTAATAGTACATATTTCTGTCACATTGAAATATACAAACTTCCTATAAAAACCATACTGGAGGGAAAAGTCAAGGCAAGCCAGGAGGAGGCATACAGCTATACAACTGGGAGGATAGTATCACGAGAGAATGAACAGAAGGCTGAGAGTGTGTGCAAGGGTGAGCGGCAGATATTGTTGAGTTACATTGTAGCTGGCTCTCACTGGAGATGGAAACTGATTGATTAAAGGATGTATGATTGGTTGATGATTTATTGATTGTTAACGATTGGTTGATGATTTATTGATTGTTAACGATTGGTTGATGATTTATTGATTGTTAACGATTGGTTGATGATTTATTAATTGTTTACATAGCACCTTGGTTTCCAGGTGGACCCAGTCGTACATGGGTACCAGGTAAACTACTGGGAGGTAAAGGTGGTCGGCGCGATGCTGACCACATCACCCATCTGGGGCCAAATCGACTATAAAAAATATCAGTCTAGCTTCATATGTCCGGTATACCACAGCTATAGAAAGGGAGACCTCTGCTTGAGTTTGACTTTGAACATAGCAGAAGTCTACTTGAGAGATATGACCATGAGTTCAGTGGTGCTATCTCACATATCATAGGTTGTGCTGACCAGTTCTACTTCACCTGTCATGACATGCTTGAGAGACACTGCCAGTTTGATGGTGGGGGGGGGGGGGGGGGTTTAGAAAAAGGACATTTGAACTGTCATGGAGATAACCTGCATGTCCATGACCAAGTTAGTGGTCAGGTGTTTCCATGACCAAGTTAGTGGTCAGGTGTTTCCATGACCAGGTTAGTGGTCAGGTGTTTCCATGACCGAGTTAGTGGTCAGGTGTTTCCATGACCAAGTTAGTGGTCATGTGTTTCCATGACCAAGTTAGTGGTCAGGTGTTTCCATGACCAGGTTAGTGGTCAGGTGTTTCCATGACCGAGTTAGTGGTCAGGTGTTTCCATGACCAAGTTAGTGGTCAGGTGTTTCCATGACCAAGTTAGTGGTCAGGTGTTTCCATGACCAAGTTAGTGGTCAGGTGTTTCCATGACCACGTTAGTGGTCAGGTGTTTCCATGACCACGTTAGTGGTCAGTTGTCTTCCACTCTGAAAGTTGTGGGTTTGTTGCACAGACATGTAGTATATATAGTTCATGAGTGAAAGTTTGTATTAGAGATCCCTGGGGATCATTGCCGGAGCTACAGGTTTCATGCTTTGTGTGTCCCTCTTGGCAGGTGTTGGCTGTTCTAGGGAGAGATACCAACCAGTATAGGGTAATATGGTGCAAAAAAAGTGGACTGGCTCAATTCATCTTCTATTTAACTGTAACATTTTAGAGTCTTTATCTTAGGCATGTGGTGCCAGAATGACAACAGTCCCTGCCTAGGTTTCAGGGAGGGGGGGGGGGATGTAGTAGATCCCCACTACAGCTTCTTCTTCTTCTTTCGTTTGCCTGAAATCAGTTGTCTATATCAGCAGTTTTGTCTCTTGTATAAATTTCACTGTCGTTGTTAGTTTATTCAGTGGTCTATAGAGTTTACGCTCTACTGTTGTTCTTTCTGAACAAAAGGTTTGCCTTAGTGTGTCAAATTCGGTGCGTTCCTGGCGTACATGCTCTGCTGTCTGGGGCACCTTTCCACAGGTGCACATGGCTGATACACCTATCTTGAATTGTGTGTACATGTGGTTATGTAATCCGTTGTGCCCTGTTCTGAAGCGGAGGATAATGACTTGTTCTGATCTGTCCGTAATAAAATATTTCTCTCTTTTATCTCCCTCTTTAACATGTTTGTTGTGAAAGCTAATTAATTAGGAATGTTGGCTTTGAAGATAAAGTCCATCTGCATGAGAGGCGAGGAGAGGAACCAACAGTCTGCACACAAATAAGCCAGATCCTATAATGGCTATGTACACAGAACTCAAAATTCAGGAACATAACAAAGGTACACAAAAGTATGAAGAACCAGAACTTTCCACCAGTTTACAGACGATGAACACTAAACAACAATCCAGAAGAGAATGGGAATGATCCAGTGATATTTCCATCATGAAACAGTTATCTATATCTAGAGAGGTAGGACAAACTCAGACTCTGTGTTGTGTGGACAGCACACTTGGTCCTAGGTGGAAAACTTCCCAAATAAGCTGAATTTACTGGCAGCTGTCAACTACAGATCACAGTCTGTTTGCAGTTAGTTTTGCAGTTGGAATGGCCAGTAGGTGGATATATGTATATAAGTGTGTCTAAGTTTGGATGTATGTGTGGGTGGATATATGTGTGTGGATGTGTTTGGATGTATGTGTGGGTGGATATATGTGTGTGGATGTGTATGGATGTATGTGTGGGTGGATATATGTGTGTGGATGTGTATGGATGTATGTGTGGGTGGATATATGTGTGTGGATGTGTATGGATGTATGTGTGGGTGGATATATGTGTGTGGATGTGTATGGGAAAGTATAAATGGATAAAACAGCCTTTACTCTTCTTGTAGAAATCCTTTCACCTATTTCATGAGGCTGCACTCAGCTTGGTACCCAGGACAAATGTGTGGACAAATACAGCACTCAGGTGACAACTTGTGATCAGTCAGGACAAAGGTGTGGACAAGTACAGCACTCAGGTCACAACTTGTGATCAGTCAGTACAAAGGTGTGAACAAATACAGCACTCAGGTGACGACTTGTGATCAGTCAGTACAAAGGTGTGAACAAATACAGCACTCAGGTGACAACTTGTGATCAGTCAGTACAAAGGTGTGGACAAATACAGCACTCAGGTGACAACTTGTGATCAGTCAGGACAAAGGTGTGGACAAATACAGCACTCAGGTGACAACTTGTGATCAGTCAGTACAAAGGTGTGGACAAATACAGCACTCAGGTGACAACTTGTGATCAGTCAGGACAAAGGTGTGGACAAATATAGCACTCAGGTGACAACTTGTGATCAGTCAGTACAAAGGTGTGAACAAATACAGCACTCAGGTGACAACTTGTGATCAGTCAGTACAAAGGTGTGGACAAATACAGCACTCAGGTGATAACTTGTGATCAGTCAGTACAAAGGTGTGGACAAATATAGCACTCAGGTGACAACTTGTGATCAGTCAGGACAAAGGTGTGGACAAATATAGCACTCAGGTGACAACTTGCGATCAGTCAGGACAAAGGTGTGAACAAATACAGCACTGAGATTACAACTTGTGATCAGTCAGGACAAAGGTGTGGACAAATATAGCACTCAGGTCACAACTTGTGATCAGTCAGAAAGAAAACAAAAGCTGATTTATGCTGAGGTGCAAACATTACTAATACTGAGGTAAAGACTCACCAACACTCAGTAAACACATAATCTCACTATACTGCAGACCCATTACTCTTTTTCTCTCCTTCTGTGTGCTCCCCCCCCCCCTCCCCCCCTCCCAGTCCTTTGCATTCCTCCTTGTCTCATCTTGTACATATACTCCCCCCCCCCCCTTTTTTTTCTCTCAGCATTTTTCTCTCAGCATTTTTCTGTATACATTCTCTCTTTATGAAGATCTTTCACAAACACACACCCATACCTGGAGAGAGAGAGAGAGAGAAAGAGAGAGGGAGAGACAGAGTTTTGCTTGGGGATTTTTTTTTCACTGAGGCCATTAAACACTATTAAGTCAGTATACATTGTGTATAGTTTGTTGACGAAGCCACCAGGGGCGGGTATTGAGTGAGTATAATACATGTTCTCTCATAGTATGTTACTGAAGCCATCAGGCGCGTGTATTGAGTGAGTAAACTACATGTTCTCTCATAGTATGTTACTGAAGCCATCAGGGGCGGGTATTAAGTGAGTAAACTACATGTTCTCTCATAGTATGTTACTGAAGCCATCAGGGGCGGGTATTAAGTGAGTATAATACATGGTCTCTCATAGTATGTTACTGAAGCCATCAGGGGCGGGTATTAAGTGAGTATAATACATGGTCTCTCATAGTATGTTACTGAAGCCATCAGGGGCGGGTATTAAGTGAGTATACTACATGGTCTCTCATAGTATGTTACTGAAGCCATCAGGGGCGGGTATTAAGTGAGTATAATACATGGTCTATCATAGTATGTTACTGAAGCCATCAGGGGCGGGTATTAAGTGAGTATACTACATGGTCTCTCATAGTATGTTACTGAAGCCATCAGGGGCGGGTATTAAGTGAGTATAATACATGGTCTCTCATAGTATGTTACTGAAGCCATCAGGGGCGGGTATTAAGTGAGTATACTACATGGTCTCTCATAGTATGTTACTGAAGCCATCAGGGGCGGGTATTAAGTGAGTATACTACATGGTCTCTCATAGTATGTTACTGAAGCCATCAGGGGCGGGTATTAAGTGAGTATACTACATGGTCTCTCATAGTATGTTACTGAAGCCATCAGGGGCGGGTATTAAGTGAGTATACTACATGGTCTCTCATAGTATGTTACTGAAGCCATCAGGGGCGGGTATTAAGTGAGTATAATACATGGTCTCTCATAGTATGTTACTGAAGCCATCAGGGGCGGGTATTAAGTGAGTATACTACATGGTCTCTCATAGTATGTTACTGAAGCCATCAGGGGCGGGTATTAAGTGAGTATACTACATGGTCTCTCATAGTATGTTACTGAAGCCATCAGGGGCGGGTATTAAGTGAGTATACTACATGGTCTCTCATAGTATGTTACTGAAGCCATCAGGGGCGGGTATTAAGTGAGTATACTACATGGTCTCTCATAGTATGTTACTGAAGCCATCAGGGGCGGGTATTAAGTGAGTATACTACATGGTCTCTCATAGTATGTTACTGAAGCCATCAGGGGCGGGTATTAAGTGAGTATAATACATGGTCTCTCATAGTATGTTACTGAAGCCATCAGGGGCGGGTATTAAGTGAGTATACTACATGGTCTCTCATAGTATGTTACTGAAGCCATCAGGGGCGGGTATATAAGTGAGTATACTACATGGTCTCTCATAGTATGTTACTGAAGCCATCAGGGGCGGGTATTAAGTGAGTATACTACATGGTCTCTCATAGTATGTTACTGAAGCCATCAGGGGCGGGTATTAAGTGAGTATACTACATGGTCTCTCATAGTATGTTACTGAAGCCATCAGGGGCGGGTATTAAGTGAGTATACTACATGGTCTCTCATAGTATGTTACTGAAGCCATCAGAGATGTGTGTTGATGGAGTATCTTTTGACTATTTCCAGGACACCGGAGGTACTCATACCCTCACATCCACCAGCCCCTGAGGTCTCTGTCCAACAAGTCTCTGATCAAATCTCACCGGCCAAAGAAAAAGAGCAAGAGAAAGAGAGACAAGTCCACAGATTACCCTTCCCAGGGTGCAGTCAAGAGCCCTCCCATTGTGGAGATAGATGAGGAGGGGTCCCGAGGCGTGGAGTATTATGAGGTAGGTGTTTGGGGATGAGAGGGAGTCAAAGAGATGGAGAGAGGGATAAGGACTGAGAGGCATGGTGATAGATTGGAACAGAAACAGAGAAAAAGGGAAAGATGGAGGGAAAGAAAGATGTGGTAAGAGAGATTGAGAGAGAGACTGTATCATATTTGTCATCAAGGTTGTGAATGTTGATGCTGTTAAGCATATAGGTATTTAGTCATTGTTATGAATATTTTTGTCGGAGTCTGGGGCTTAGGTGTTGCAGATATGGTTTGTACCGGTTTGATCTCAGCTGAGTATGATTTGACAGCAGACCTCCTAAAACAGTTACTTTATTCTTAACAATGGTATGAAGGACTTTTAAACAAAAAGCAGTGGCAGACTACTAAGTGTGGAGCTGGCATTAAATACTTTCCTTATGGTGTGATCCGTGGTTCTGGGAGTGTTTATTATTGGTGATTATTTTAATGTTTTTTACATTGATGCCCAAGAAGAATTGATTAGATGTGTCTATCTGCCAGCTGTTGTTTGGCCAGCTGTTGTTTGGCCAGCTGTTGTTTGGCCAGCTGTTGTTTGGCCAGCAGTTGTTTGGCCAGCTGTTGTTTGGCCAGCTGTTGTTTGGCCAGCTGTTGTTTGGCCAGCTGTTGTTTGGCCAGCTGTTGTTTGGCCAGCTGTTGTTTGGCCAGCTGTTGTTTGGCCAGCTGTTGTTTGGCCAGCTGTTGTTTGGCCAGCTGTTGTTTGGCCAGCTGTTGTTTGGCCAGCTGTTGTTTGGCCAGCTGTTGTTTGGCCAGCTGTTGTTTGGCCAGCTGTGTGTCACATATATATCCTGACAGCAGCTAATGTTTGCAGAGTCATAACGACAGAAATAAGATGTAGTAGAAGAGTTGACGGAGTCAACACAAGAGATCAAATCTTCTTCTTCTTGTTTACTGGCTGTGAATTCCAGCGGAAAGTCCTGGATGTTTTGGACTTTTTGCTTTTACTTGGACCTGAGTTTTGCGTGTACATCTGTTTTACTGGCTTATTTGTGTACAGTCATCCTTTCCACCCTCTCTGGCAGATGTAATCGGACTTCGAGGGAAGACATCAAGCCTATCTTTAGGACGACTGTGACCACTGTTTGTGGGACGAGATGTTGTCTCATTTGTGTGGTGTCCTCTTTGACCCTTTATCCACAGGTGTTGCCCCTGGAGACCCTCCTTTAGGGCAGCCCTTTGTAGAATGGTCAACCCTCAAGGGAAGGCAGGGGCAGATCATGGGCATTCCCCGCCATCCAAAGAGGCATCCATAAATGCAGAGCCGACACATGACGCTCTGGTTCTGGGCTCACCCAGGGAATCGTCAGGTCCTGCACACAACTGCTTATCCTCACAACCATATATTGAGCTAACCGTTCGACAGGGGCTGCGCCCTCCGAAGGTCAGGGCCATTGCATGGTAGACACCTTAAACATTCTTTCAACTGTGCCCTTAGCACGACAGTATGGCAAGCATGCGTCAGGCATGGCTTCACCTGTTTGGTCCCAACACTCGGGCGAGTGAGGCCAGTGGATTCAGACATTTGGACCTTTTTGCCAGACAGTAAGATTTATGTTGATTGGTACATTTAGCTCTGCTCGTGTGCCGTAGTATCTATGGATGTTGGACATTAGGGCCTAGCCAGCAGATGAACAGTTGCTGTTGTGGTGTACCTCAGCGCAGTGACGATGACACTGAGGATTGACAGAGAATGTACGTAGGTAGAGGATTGTACTGCCAGAAACCACCCACATGAGATGTTACTGGCTTGAGCTGCAGGTCAATCTCTTGGTCAAGGGTTGGGTCTCAGCAGCGGCACAGTTCTGCCTTCACTCCACAGACTTGTCAATGAGACTTGTCATTTAGTAGAACCTTTGGCAAGCAGACTTTGCTCATGTTCCAAATGAGACGTTTTTAACACATGCGTTTGGGGGCAGGCTGATGAAAGCGAGACACTACACCTCTGGGGGCCGCCAACTCCGAGATCCTCTGCCAGCTGTGTTAATGCTCATTTGAGAGATTATCCTTGGCGCACGACAGGGAGACCTGCAGCGTAAGTCTTGCATGAGGTTCCGTAAAACCAGAACAGTGAAGGGCTGGCACCGAGTGAGGTACAGAGAGTCTCTTTATACATGCCATATGGGATTTAACTTTCCCACACGCCTGTGACTGAAATCACCACGCCACAAAAGAAATAAAAACCAAAGACATTAGAAGCCGGCTAGATCTCAAAGCAGTCAAACAGTTCATTAAAGAGCTACAAGTGAGATGGTTTGGCCCCCTGACGAAAATGCAGAAGTACCAACCAACTGCCAGTGAGAGCCACGATGAAGAAATATAAAATATTTAGAGTAAGAGGAAAGACCATGTAAAGATGAAACAATGGCATCAAGAACAACCTTAAAGAAATGAAGATCAATGCAGCACAATAGCAAAAGCACACGGAAGATTCTTATATCTCTCCCAAATACTTCAGTGAGGTAACGGAGTAACAGAAGACGATTGTACATTGATGCTTTCCATAAAACAGCATTACTGCAGGCAGGAATTTATGCAGATACAAACTCGGGGCAGTTTAGTTACCTCTGTAAACACCTCGCTGACCTCTGCACTCACAATGGAAGCAATAAACTCAGTAGAAGGTATCCATGGTGGAGTAGTTAAGCTGCTTGCTTTAGGCTCTATAGCTTGTGGGTTTGATCTCTGACTCATTGTGTTTGCCAGTGCTGGTGTTTTGGAGACCTCTATGGTTAGTCACTCGATCTACCGTTTGTGCTTTTATGTGGCTGTCTTAGGTGTTGGATAGCCAGTGTGGAGAGAGAGCCGTGCAGTAATTTTCTTGCCTTCAGACTGTAAATATATTGACTTGGTGAATTGCCTGTCTCTGGTTTTGACTAAGTCTCTTCCCGCCTGTGTTCCCAGGCCCCATATTTTCAAAAATTAGAATAGAGCCAATGCTCCTTAACAAGCATGTCTTAAAAGACAACTAATGAAAGGGTTATTAAAATTGGTTAGGTTGACCAAAAAGGCAGTTATCACACCCTAGAGGTAAACCACAACACTCTGCCAATGGCCCTTTTAAGGGTGAACAGAGAAGAATAAGGTCTCTTTATACTTCTTTTAAAAAATAAAATTGTTCTATTATGTATGATGCCTTAATACTCGAGCCCTCTTCTGAATATTGTATGGGGTTTTAATTACCAGTTTTTAACAGAAGTATTCACCAGTGGGCTCACTCCACTGTTACAGCTATGAATGTGTATAGTTTAATTGTTTCGTTTCCAGGATTCAGGAAGTAGCTCAGCCAGCGATGAGGAATTAGATGATGATGATGATGATGATGATGAGGAAGAGCCAGATCAACAACCACACCCAGGCTTGGCCACATCCGCAGTGTCAGTTCCCGCAGTGAGCTTTATGCCAGCTAGTCCGTCACTAGAGGGCACACCTTCTACAGTGACATCGGCGTCGTCACACAAGTCGTTGTCTCCCATCAAGACACCATCACCAGATGACCCCAGTGGCCAGGTAATTTACACAATGTATTGTTGTAATGTGAGAGCTTCGGTAGTGGAACAAATAGACACTTACTTGCTGGCCTGAAGATCTTCATTTTGATTTAACATCCAGCAGGCCTTTTACAATTGAACTAGGCTCCCAGGCTAAAACAGATACTGGGAGTTGAAGGTGACCAACATGACAATCATGTCAATTGTCGATTAGTTTATAATAAACAATGTAAGCTTATTATCATAGGCCCAGATTGCCAGGGGCATAGAAAGTATCCTTTTCTAACTTTTGCTTGACTTGTTTGTAATTGAGATGTGTGTGTCAGATCAAGCCTGGCTACTTTGATGTGTCAGGGACATTTGTGTCAGATCAAGCCTGGCTACTTTGATGTGTCAGGGACATTTGTGTCAGATCAAGCCTGGCTACTTTGATGTGTCAGGGACATTTGTGTCAGATCAAGTTTGGCCACTTTGATGTGTCAGGGATTTTCGTGTCAAATCAATTTTGGCCATTATAATGTTGCCGGGACATTTGTGTCAGATCAAGTTTGGCTACTTTGATGTGTCAGCTGCAAGTGTGTCAGATCAAGTTTCACCACTTTGATGTGTCAGAGATATTTGTGTTATATCAAGTTTGGCCACTTTGATGTGTCACCCACAAGTGTGTCAGATCAAGTTTCGCCACTTTGATGTGTCAGGGATATTTATGTCAAATCAATTTTGGCCACTTTGAAATGCTGAAGAAAAAGACTATTCTGTAGTACATTTTGTTTAGTAAAAGTTCAGCGTATATTTTACCTAATAAATGTTTTTCTTTTTTAAAGATCTTTTTCATACACTATACACATTCATATTCAGCTGAATAGTTGGGACCGTTATTCGTATTCAGCTGAATAGGGAAAATCACCTATTTGGTACAGCTCTAGTGCTAATAGAGAATCTCTCTGTGTAATTGTAATGAGAAATTTTCTTCCATTTCTTTAAAGTTGGCACCTTACCATCTTTCCAGAAGATAGTATTATATTGTCTCATGGGAAGGCAGGGGACTCGCAGCCCATGGCCATGGTGAATGTGACTAGCAAGACCCGCTCATGTTTGACTAGCAAGACCCGCTCATGTTTGACTAGCAAGACCCGCTCATGTTTGACTAGCAAGACCCACTCATGTTAGGACAAGTCTTCCACAATTACAGCATGACATTTCAGGACCGTTGTTACCATCATCTGTGTTGAGTGTGTTTCTTCTCAAATAAAGAGCTGTCATACTTTCTGTAATCATTTCTTCTTTCATTCTCATTCCCTTCCTGATGTACCTCCTCCGTGCCTATAGTATTTTTTTTTTCCAAAGAATCATTACTTTGAAGACATACTCAGTAATTTATATGAGAAAAGTTTATCTCATTTCTTACAGTGGTTTCAGTAATTTCTATAATAAATGTTTTTTTCTTCTCTTACAGACAAAATAATTTAAATAAGAAATGTTCTGCTATGTCCTTACAGACACTGAGTAATTTACATTATAAATGTTCTTCAATTTCCTATAATTTTTCTTACAGACTATAATTTTAATAAGAAACATTGCCTGTGTTTTCTGCAGAGGGGCTTGTACACTGGAAGGAAGTCAGGACGTGGAGACCATCTTGTAGACATTGATACTTCAGAGACAGCAGAGCTAGTGAACCCAGATGATGGAGATGAGGAGTCCTTGTCTGGCCTTGGCACTCCCATTGTGTGGAAGTCGACTCCAGCCAGTGCTGTGAAGAAAAGTGCCCCCACAGAGCAGGATTCCCCTAGGGTCTCCTATATACAGGAGGCCCTACCTTCTCAGCGCCCTGCCCACCTGGCTTTGGGGGGTAAAGACGATGTGGGGATCCCGTCACCTGTGATGTCTTCAATTGCCCCACGGAGACAGAGTCTGGGCGGAAAAGTGTCCTTTGTTTTAGGTATGGAAACTGTCACATTGGGATTGACTGTATGTAGGCATGGTATTGTGATTGTGTAATAGAAACTGTCACATTGGGATTGACTGTATGTAGGCATGGTATTGTGATTGTGTAATAAAAACTGTCACATTGGGATTGAGTGTAGGCATGGTATTGTGATTGTGTAATAGAAACTGTCACATTGGGATTGACTGTAGGCATGGTATTGTGATTGTGTAATAGAAACTGTCACATTGGGATTGACTGTAGGCATGGTATTGTGATTGTGTAATAGAAACGGTCACATTGGGATTGACTGTAGGCATGGTATTGTGATTGTGTAATAGAAACTGTCACATTGGGATTGACTGTAGGCATGGTATTGTGATTGTGTAATAGAAACTGTCACATTGGGATTGACTGTAGGCATGGTATTGTGATTGTGTAATAGAAACTGTCACATTGGGATTGACTGTAGGCATGGTATTGTGATTGTGTAATAGAAACTGTCACATTGGGATTGACTGTAGGCATGGTATTGTGATTGTGTAATAGAAACTGTCACATTGGGATTGACTGTAGGCATGGTATTGTGATTGTGTAATAGAAACTGTCACATTGGGATTGACTGTAGGCATGGTATTGTGATTGTGTAATAAAAACTGTCACATTGGGATTGACTGTAGGCATGGTATTGTGATTGTGTAATAGAAACTGTCACATTGGGATTGACTGTAGGCATGGTATTGTGATTGTGTAATAGAAACTGTCACATTGGGATTGACTGTAGGCATGGTATTGTGATTGTGTAATAGAAACTGTCACATTGGGATTGACTGTAGGCATGGTATTGTGATTGTGTAATAGAAACTGTCACATTGGGATTGACTGTAGGCATGGTATTGTGATTGTGTAATAGAAACTGTCACATTGGGATTGACTGTAGGCATGGTATTGTGATTGTGTAATAAAAACTGTCACATTGGGATTGACTGTATGTAGGCATGGTATTGTGATTGTGTAATAAAAACTGTCACATTGGGATTGACTGTAGGCATGGTATTGTGATTGTGTAATAGAAACTGTCACATTGGGATTGACTGTAGGCATGGTATTGTGATTGTGTAATAGAAACTGTCACATTGGGATTGACTGTAGGCATGGTATTGTGATTGTGTAATAGAAACTGTCACATTGGGATTGACTGTAGGCATGGTATTGTGATTGTGTAATAAAAACTGTCACATTGGGATTGACAGTATGTAGGCATGGTATTGTGATTGTGTAATAAAAACTGTCACATTGGGATTGACTGTAGGCATGGTATTGTGATTGTGTAATAGAAACTGTCACATTGGGATTGACTGTAGGCATGGTATTGTGATTGTGTAATAGAAACTGTCACATTGGGATTGACTGTAGGCATGGTATTGTGATTGTGTAATAGAAACTGTCACATTGGGATTGACTGTAGGCATGGTATTGTGATTGTGTAATAGAAACTGTCACATTGGGATTGACTGTAGGCATGGTATTGTGATTGTGTAATAGAAACTGTCACATTGGGATTGACTGTAGGCATGGTATTGTGATTGTGTAATAGAAACTGTCACATTGGGATTGACTGTAGGCATGGTATTGTGATTGTGTAATAGAAACTGTCACATTGGGATTGACTGTAGGCATGGTATTGTGATTGTGTAATAAAAACTGTCACATTGGGATTGACTGTAGGCATGGTATTGTGATTGTGTAATAGAAACTGTCACATTGGGATTGACTGTAGGCATGGTATTGTGATTGTGTAATAGAAACTGTCACATTGGGATTGACTGTAGGCATGGTATTGTGATTGTGTAATAGAAACTGTCACATTGGGATTGACTGTAGGCATGGTATTGTGATTGTGTAATAGAAACTGTCACATTGGGATTGACTGTAGGCATGGTATTGTGATTGTGTAATAGAAACTGTCACATTGGGATTGACTGTAGGCATGGTATTGTGATTGTGTAATAAAAACTGTCACATTGGGATTGACTGTATGTAGGCATGGTATTGTGATTGTGTAATAAAAACTGTCACATTGGGATTGACTGTAGGCATGGTATTGTGATTGTGTAATAGAAACTGTCACATTGGGATTGACTGTAGGCATGGTATTGTGATTGTGTAATAGAAACTGTCACATTGGGATTGACTGTAGGCATGGTATTGTGATTGTGTAATAGAAACTGTCACATTGGGATTGACTGTAGGCATGGTATTGTGATTGTGTAATAAAAACTGTCACATTGGGATTGACTGTATGTAGGCATGGTATTGTGATTGTGTAATAAAAACTGTCACATTGGGATTGAGTGTAGGCATGGTATTGTGATTGTGTAATAGAAACTGTCACATTGGGATTGACTGTAGGCATGGTATTGTGATTGTGTAATAGAAACTGTCACATTGGGATTGACTGTAGGCATGGTATTGTGATTGTGTAATAAAAACTGTCACATTGGGATTGACTGTAGGCATGGTATTGTGATTGTGTAATAGAAACTGTCACATTGGGATTGACTGTAGGCATGGTATTGTGATTGTGTAATAAAAACTGTCACATTGGGATTGACTGTAGGCATGGTATTGTAATTGTGTAATAAAAACTGTCACATTGGGATTGACTGTAGGCATGGTATTGTGATTGTGTAATAAAAACTGTCACATTGGGATTGACTGTAGGCATGGTATTGTGATTGTGTAATAGAAACTGTCACATTGGGATTGACTGTAGGCATGGTATTGTGATTGTGTAATAGAAACTGTCACATTGGGATTGACTGTAGGCATGGTATTGTGATTGTGTAATAGAAACTGTCACATTGGGATTGACTGTAGGCATGGTATTGTGATTGTGTAATAGAAACTGTCACATTGGGATTGACTGTAGGCATGGTATTGTGATTGTGTAATAAAAACTGTCACATTGGGATTGACTGTATGTAGGCATGGTATTGTGATTGTGTAATAAAAACTGTCACATTGGGATTGAGTGTAGGCATGGTATTGTGATTGTGTAATAGAAACTGTCACATTGGGATTGACTGTAGGCATGGTATTGTGATTGTGTAATAGAAACTGTCACATTGGGATTGACTGTAGGCATGGTATTGTGATTGTGTAATAAAAACTGTCACATTGGGATTGACTGTAGGCATGGTATTGTGATTGTGTAATAGAAACTGTCACATTGGGATTGACTGTAGGCATGGTATTGTGATTGTGTAATAGAAACTGTCACATTGGGATTGACTGTAGGCATGGTATTGTAATTGTGTAATAAAAACTGTCACATTGGGATTGACTGTAGGCATGGTATTGTGATTGTGTAATAAAAACTGTCACATTGGGATTGACTGTAGGCATGGTATTGTGATTGTGTAATAGAAACTGTCACATTGGGATTGACTGTAGGCATGGTATTGTGATTGTGTAATAGAAACTGTCACATTGGGATTGACTGTAGGCATGGTATTGTGATTGTGTAATAGAAACTGTCACATTGGGATTGACTGTAGGCATGGTATTGTGATTGTGTAATAGAAACTGTCACATTGGGATTGACTGTAGGCATGGTATTGTGATTGTGTAATAGAAACTGTCACATTGGGATTGACTGTAGGCATGGTATTGTGATTGTGTAATAGAAACTGTCACATTGGGATTGACTGTAGGCATGGTATTGTGATTGTGTAATAGAAACTGTCACATTGGGATTGACTGTAGGCATGGTATTGTGATTGTGTAATAAAAACTGTCACATTGGGATTGACTGTAGGCATGGTATTGTGATTGTGTAATAGAAACTGTCACATTGGGATTGACTGTAGGCATGGTATTGTGATTGTGTAATAGAAACTGTCACATTGGGATTGACTGTAGGCATGGTATTGTAATTGTGTAATAAAAACTGTCACATTGGGATTGACTGTAGGCATGGTATTGTGATTGTGTAATAGAAACTGTCACATTGGGATTGACTGTAGGCATGGTATTGTGATTGTGTAATAGAAACTGTCACATTGGGATTGACTGTAGGCATGGTATTGTGATTGTGTAATAGAAACTGTCACATTGGGATTGACTGTAGGCATGGTATTGTGATTGGACTTTTTTTTAAAATGACAATGGCTTCCAGGTCCACCCAGCCTTAAATGGGTACCAGGTAAAGTTGTGGGAAATAAAGGCAGCCAGTATGATGTTGACCACATCACTCGGAGAGTGCTGTCTGGTCTTAAACAAACAGATCTGGCCCTGTGTGCTCAGTTCACCTGAAGGCATGGAGCCTGATCCTAGACTTTCTTTACTATAGTTTTGTAGCTAGACTGTCATGGCTGTGAAAGTTGATACCTGTACCAGGAGAAAGGTTTCACATGTAGCAGGTACTTGGCATGAATGAGTACCAGAAGAAAGGTTTCACATGCAGCGGGTACAGAATACTTGGCATGAATGAGTACCAGGAGGAAGGTTTCACATGTAGCGGGTACATAATACTTGGCATGAATGAGTACCAGGAGGAAGGTTTCACATGTAGCGGGTACAGAATATTTGGCATGAATGAGTACCAGGAGGAGGGTTTCACATGCAGCGGGTACAGAATACTAGGCATGAATGAGTACCAGGAGGAAGGTTTCACATGTAGCGGGTACAGAATACTTGGCATGAATGAGTACCAGGAGGAAGATTTCCCATGTAGCGGGTACAGAATACTTGGCATGAATGAGTACCAGGAGGAAGGTTTCACATGTAGCGGGTACATAATACTTGGCATGAATGAGTACCAGGAGGAGGGTTTCACATGCAGCGGGTACAGAATACTTGGCATGAATGAGTACCAGGAGGAAGATTTCCCATGTAGCGGGTACAGAATACTTGGCATGAATGAGTACCAGGAGGAAGGTTTCACATGTAGCGGGTACATAATACTTGGCATGAATGAGTACCAGGAGGAAGGTTTCACATGTAGCGGGTACAGAATACTTGGAATTAATGAGTACCGGGAGAAAGGTTTCACATGTAGCGGGTACAGAATACTTGGCATGAATGAGTACCAGGAGGAAGATTTCACATGCAGCGGGTACAGAATACTTGGCATGAATGAGTACCAGGAGGAAGGTTTCACATGCAGCGGGTACAGAATACTTGGCATGAATGAGTACCAGGAGGAAGGTTTCACATGCAGCGGGTACAGAATACTTGGCATGAATGAGTACCAGGAGGAAGGTTTCACATGCAGCGGGTACAGAATACTTGGCATGAATGAGTACCAGGAGGAAGGTTTCACATGCAGCGGGTACAGAATACTTGGCATGAATGAGTACCAGGAGAAAGATTTCACATGTAGCGGGTACATAATACTTGGCATGAATGAGTACCAGGAGGAAAGTTTCACATGCAGCGGGTACAGAATACTTGGCATGAATGAGTACCAGGAGAAAGATTTCACATGTAGCGGGTACAGAATACTTGGCATGAATGAGTACCAGGAGGAAGGTTTCACATGCAGCGGGTACAGAATACTTGGCATGAATGAGTACCAGGAGGAAGATTTCACATGTAGCGGGTACAGAATACTTGGCATGAATGAGTACCAGGAGGAAGGTTTCACATGCAGCGGGTACAGAATACTTGGCATGAATGAGTACCAGGAGAAAGGTTTCACATGTAGCGGGTACAGAATACTTGGCATGAATGAGTACCAGGAGAAAGGTTTCACATGCAGCGGGTACAGAATACTTGGCATGAATGAGTACCAGGAGGAAGATTTCACATGTAGCGGGTACAGAATACTTGGCATGAATGAGTACCAGGAGGAAGGTTTCACATGCAGCGGGTACAGAATACTTGGAATAATTAAGTACCAGGAGAAAGGTTTCACATGTACGGGTACACTTGGGAAGAGAGGAGGAAGGTTTCACATGCAGCGGGTACAGAATACTTGGAATAATTAAGTACCAGGAGGAAGGTTTCACATGTAGCGGGTACAGAATACTTGGCATGAATGAGTACCAGGAGGAAGGTTTCACATGCAGCGGGTACAGAATACTTGGAATAATTAAGTACCAGGAGAAAGGTTTCACATGTAGCGGGTACAGAATACTTGGCATGAATGAGTACCAGGAGGAAGGTTTCACATGTAGCGGGTACAGAATACTTGGCATGAATGAGTACCAGGAGGAAGGTTTCACATGCAGCGGGTACAGAATACTTGGAATAATTAAGTACCAGGAGGAAGGTTTCACATGTAGCGGGTACAGAATACTTGGAATAATTAAGTACCAGGAGGAAGGTTTCACATGCAGCGGGTACAGAATACTTGGAATAATTAAGTACCAGGAGGAAGGTTTCACATGTAGCGGGTACAGAATACTTGGCATGAATGAGTACCAGGAGGAAGATTTGACATGCAGCGGGTACAGAATACTTGGCATGAATGAGTACCAGGAGGAAGGTTTCACATGTAGCGGGTACATAATACTTGGCATGAATGAGTACCAGGAGGAAGGTTTCACATGTAGCGGGTACATAATACTTGGCATGAATGAGTACCAGGAGGAAGGGAAGGTACAGAATTTTGGCACCAGGAGGAATCACATGCAGCGGGTACAGAATACTAGGCATGAATGAGTACCAGGAGGACGGTTTCACATGCAGCGGGTACAGAATACTTGGCATGAATGAGTACCAGGAGGAAGGTTTCACATGCAGCGGGTACAGAATACTTGGCATGAATGAGTACCAGGAGAAAGGTTTCACATGCAGCGGGTACAGAATACTTGGCATGAATGAGTACCAGGAGGAAGGTTTCACTTGTAGCGGGTACAGAATACTTGGCATGAATGAGTACCAGGAGGAAGGTTTCACATGCAGCGGGTACATAATACTTGGCATGAATGAGTACCAGGAGGAAGATTTCACATGCAGCGGGTACAGAATACTTGGCATGAATGAGCAAGACACGATCACAAGCAGTGAGGTGTTAGAAGACACAGCAGATATCAGAACAGTTTTCTCACTGTTGCTTCTGAAGGCTCAAATGGCTTGGACACACTTGGAGGATGGTAGTGTCTGCAAATACATCCTCTATGGTGAATTAGGGATGGGTAGAAGTTAGCCTCCACCATGATACAAATATGTGTGCAAACGGGACACAGATGGTGCAGATATTGAAATGGATTCGTGGGAACAGATTGCCACAGGTTGTGTTGTATGGAGAGCTGGACAAACTAGAGAAAGTGCAGAATCAAGCTATGAGACTGATCCTTAGAAACTTCATGTTACACCATGCTATGTGTCCTTGGCACTTCATGTTACGCCATGCTATATATTCTTGACCCCTCATGTTACGCCATGCTATATGTCCTTGACCCCTCATGTTACGCCATGCTATATGTCCTTGACCCCTCATGTTACGCCATGCTATATGTCCTTGACCCCTCATGTTACGCCATGCTATATGTCCTTGACCCCTCATGTTCCATGCTATATGTCCTTGACCCCTCATGTTACGCCATGATATATGTCCTTGACCCCTCATGTTACGTGATGCTATATGTCCTTGACCCCTCATGTTATGCCATGATATATGTCCTTGACCCCTCATGTTACGCCATGCTATATGTCCTTGACCCCTCATGTTATGCTGTGCTATATGTCCTTGACCCCTTACGTTACACCATGCTATATGTCCTTGACCACTCATGTTACACTGTGCTATATGTCCTTGACCCCTCATGTTACGCCATGATATATGTCCTTGACCTCTCATGTTACGTCATGCTGTGTCCTTGACAGTTCATGTTACGCCATGCTATATGTCCTTGACACTTCATGTTATGCCGTGCTATATGTCCTTGACCCTTCATGTTATGCCATGCTATATGTCCTTGACACTTCATGTTATGCCATGCTATATGTCCTTGAACTTCATGTTACGCTGTGCTATGTGTCCTTGACATGTCATGTTACGCCATGCTATATGTCCTTGACCCCTCATGTTATGCCATGCTATATGTCCTTGACACTTCATGTTAAGCCATGCTATATTTCCTTGAACTTCAGGTTACGCTGTGCTATGTGTTCTTGATATGTCATGTTGTGCCATGCTCTATGTCCTTGAACTTCATGTTATGCTGTGCTATGTGTCCTTGACATGTCATGTTATGCCATGCTATATGTCCTTGAACTTCATGTTACGCTGTGCTATGTGTCCTTGACATGTCATGTTATGCCATGCTATATGTCCTTGAACTTCATGTTACGCTGTGCTATATGTCCTTGACATGTCATGTTATGCCATGCTATATGTCCTTGAACTTCATGTTACGCTGTGCTATGTGTCCTTGACATGTCATGTTATGCCATGCTATATGTCCTTGAACTTCATGTTACGCTGTGTTATGTGTCCTTGACATGTCATGTTATGCCATACTATATGTCCTTGAACTTCATGTTACGCTGTGCTATGTGTCCTTGACATGTCATGTTATGCCATGCTATATGTCCTTGAACTTCATGTTACGCCGTGCTATGTGTCCTTGTCATGTCATGTTACACCATGCTATATGTCCTTGACACCTCATGTTACACCATGCTATATGTCCTTGACACTTCATGTTACACCATGCTATATGTCCTTGACACTTCATGTTACACCATGCTAAATGTCCTTGACCTTCCAGACATGGTCACTAGACACAGTAGGGCAAAGGCATACCTTTGTGTTGCTGCTGACATAAAACACCCCTGTGCACATCTGCCTACAAGTGAATGAAGATAAATACGTATAGACGGTGTCGTCCTTGGTGACAGAAGGGGAAGATACCATTAGCAAAATCTGGCCATGAGAACAGTTCAGGCTTGGTGATGAATTGATAGAAACTTCAGAACAGTTGCAATTCCACATTGAGGTAATGATCACGATGGGCAGGTATTGCAGAGAATGGAGCCAACACAACCACTAATACTGAATAAGGCAGCTCATTCACAAGCCTGGTGACATCATCTATACAGGTGGCTGAGTGATTCCTGGGGTGCATTCTGGGTTTGGATACACAGTACAGGTGAATGGAAAGACAACAGAAGAAGAAAGTCAGGCATTGAGTGCCTTCTAACATGGTGATGGAGAAAGCAGCTGTCACAGGGGAACTTGCATAGCTGACAGAGCAGAAAGCAAATCATAAATTGATAGTGACAGACTCAAGGATCATCTTATGTTCCAAAACTTGCAAACTCTGACTAGAATGGGATAACAGTATCCAGAAATCTGTCCTCAAGAAACCCTCTTGGCTGTACACACTAGAGCCTGCTGGGGTGAAATGACATGAAAGAGCATACAAGCTGGCCATGTCTGCAGTGGCTGGCCGAGGAAGAAGTGTGGACAGTGCAGACATACTGAATGTGCTGCGTTCTAGAGACTTTGAGATAAAGGAATCAGAGACAGTGAACTGCTTGTTGAAAATGGATATTAAACCAAGACAAGCAAACAGAAGCTGGTTGCAAGGTAAAGAAAGAAGATAAGCCGATCAACTCCTGCCGGGTACATTGAGCATGTAGACATCGAGATGGCTGCTGCCTCAGAGGACCAAGCACAAGTGGGTTGGACTGACATGCTTGAATGCTGATACAGACAGGTTACAAGTAACACACATCAAAATCTTCCTAAAACAAAAACAATCGTAGTCATGTAGAGCATATTATATAAATCAAAATTGAGTTTACTTGACAATATGGTAATTGTTCCTGTGTATGGAAACTTACTAGGCATTCTGTATTTGCTGTCCCCTTTAAGCAGGTGAGGAGTCGGGGTCTGCCAACCAGCAGCCTTCAGACATGTCTGATGCTGGTCTCATGGATGGTCCGGCTGTAGACAGTGACAAGGAAAATATGGGACGGAGGAAGAAGAGGCGAGGTGATGAGAGCAGAAGGCGGGGCAGCAGTGATGGGGATATGCAGGACTCGGGCCATGCCTTGTCAAAGGTTCCCAGGTGAGTGAGTGAAAGAGTCTGAGATAAAAGGGTTCCCAGGTGAGTGAGTGAAAGAGTCTGAGATCAAAGGTTTGCAGGTGAATGAGTGAGTGAGTGGAAGAGTCTGAGATCAAAGGTTCCCAGGTGAATGAATGAGTGAGTGGAAGAGTCTGAGATCAAAGGTTTGCAGGTGAGTGAGTGGAAGAGTCTGAGATCCAAGGTTCCCAGGTGAGTGAGTAAGTTATTGGAAGATTCTGAGATCAAAAGTTCCCAGGTGAGTGAGTGAAATAGTCTGAGATCTAAGGTTCCAGAGTGAGTGAGTGGAAGAGTCTGAGATCAAAGGTTCCCAGGTGAGAGCGTGAGTGGAAGAGTATGAGATCAAAGGTTCCCAGGTGAGTGAGTGGATGAGTCTGAGATCAAAAGCTCCTAGGTGAGTGAGTGAGTGGAAGAGTCTGAGATCAAAGGTTCCCAGGTGAATGAGTGAGTGAGTGGAAGAGTCTGAGATAAAATGTTCCCATGTGAGTCAGTGGAAGAGTCTGAGATCCAAGGTTCCCAGGTGAGTGAGTGGAAGAGTCTGAGATCAAAGGTTCACAGGTGAGTGAGTGGAAGAGTCTGAGATCAAAGGTTTGCAGGTGAATGAGTGAGTGAGTGGAAAAGTCTGAAATCAAATGTTCCCATGTGAGTGAGTGGAAGAGTCTGAGATCAGAGGCTTCCAGGTGAGTGAGCGGAAGAGTCTGAGATCAGAGGTTCCGAGGTAAGTGAGTGGAAGAGTCTGAGATCAAAGGTTCCCAGGTGAATGAGTGAGTGGAAGAGTCGAGATCAAATCTTCCCAGGTGAGTGAGTGAGTGGAAGAGTCTGAGATCAGAGGTTCCCATGTAAGTGAGTGATTGGAAGAGTCTGCGATGAAAGGTTCCCAGGTGAGTGAGTGGAAAAGTCTGAGATATGAGATTCCCAGGTGAGTGAGTGAGTGGAAAAGTCTGAGATCAGAGGTTCCCATGTGAGTGAGTGAGTGGAAAAGTCTGAGATCAGAGGTTCCCAGTTGAGTGAGTGAGTGGAAGAGTCTGAGATCAGAGGTTCCCAGGTAAGTGAGTGAGTGGAAGAGTCTGAGATCAGAGGTTCCCAGGTAAGTGAGTGAGTGGAAGAGTCTGCGATTAAAGGTTCCCAGGTGAGTGAGTGGAAAAGTCTTAGATATGAGATTCCCAGGTGAGTGAGTGAGTGGAAAAGTCTGAGATCAGAGGTTCCCAGGTGAGTGAGTGTGTGGAAGAGTCTAAGATCAAAGGTTCCCAGGTGAGTGAGTGAGTGGAAGAGTCTAAGATCAATGTCTCTCTGCCTGTCCTCCTCCTCCAAGCTGCTCTCTATAGGTGTGACCACTCGTGTGAATATAAGAGTCCCATGTGAGATGACAAACCAACAGGACTAGACCCAGATGCCCACTTCCGCCTAATAATAAATTTGATGTTCTGGTCAAAATGGGCGCTAGGCATGGTCACTGTTTTGAGTCGTGTTTTTGCTTCAGCTGGTTGTTTGCCGTTGCATTTTTGCTCCATTTGTAGACTGAAAGGATATAGTTTTGTCGCCCAGCTACTGAGTTGAGCGCATGGTGCTACCCTGTGAGCTGCTGATTTCATTTGGAATGTTTTTTGACTGGGACCAAGTGGTGTTATGATTTGTAGATTCAGAAAAAGGCGCATGGCCTGTCGTTGCAATATTGGTGGTGCCCTTATGTATTTAAAATTGATCACGTGTGCAAATACTGATTTGTTGGTTACCTCTGCTACTGTTGATGATGAACTGCATTTCTAATGTCGGGCTGTTTGTGTTAGCAATTCTGATGGCTACTGTATGCTTTGAATGTGTATGTATGCTAGTGTATATGCTGAGACAGCAGTCTGTTAATCTCTCTACAAGGAACTGTGATGAACATTCTGTGTGTTTTTCATTGACACAGGAGTGGAGCAATTATGGGGTGACCCATGAAGCTGAAACTAACATTTACCATTACCAGTAATAAGCTATGATTAAAACACTCTCCTCGTGTGAATTCTGGTACCCTTCTGTGGGGGGAAACAAGAATAGACCCACTGCCCTGCCAACTAGCATGTCCTAGGAGCCATCTAACTGGGGGGCATAGAGTACATCTGTCTGATAGGCAGGGGACCAAGAGCCTGCAGCCAGTGAATGCCGACAAGAACAAGAAGATTATGGCACTGTAATGGCTCACCAAATACTGTCCTAGCACACCTGGGGTTAGAGAAGGTAAAGCTTGAGATCAAACAACTGTGTTGGTGTTTGTTCTAGCGGATCAGTTAACTGAGTTTGTTGTAGGGTTAGAGAAGGTATAGCTTGAGATGAAGCAACTGTGTTGGTGTTTGTTCTAGCGGATCAGTTAACTGAGTTTGTTGTAGGGTTAGAGAAGGTATAGCTAGAGATGAAGCAACTGTGTTGGTGTTTGTTCTAGCGGATCAGTTAACTGAGTTTGTTGTAGGGTTAGAGAAGGTGTAGCTTGAGATGAAGCAACTGTGTTGGTGTTTGTTCTAGCGGATCAGTTAACTGAGTTTGTTGTAGGGTTAGAGAAGGTATAGCTAGAGATGAAGCAACTGTGTTGGTGTTTGTTCTAGCGGATCAGTTAACTGAGTTTGTTGTAGGGTTAGAGAAGGTATAGCTTGAGATGAAGCAACTGTGTTGGTGTTTGTTCTAGCGGATTGGTTAACTGAGTTTGTTGTAGGGTTAGAGAAGGTATAGCTAGAGATGAAGCAACTGTGTTGGTGTTTGTTCTAGCGGATCAGTTAACTGAGTTTGTTGTAGGGTTAGAGAAGGTGTAGCTTGAGATGAAGCAACTGTGTTGGTGTTTGTTCTAGCGGATCAGTTAACTGAGTTTGTTGTAGGGTTAGAGAAGGTATAGCTTGAGATGAAGCAATTGTGTTGGTGTTTGTTCTAGCGGATCAGTTAACTGAGTTTGTTGTAGGGTTAGAGAAGGTATAGCTAGAGATAAAGCAACTGTGTTGGTGTTTGTTCTAGCGGATCAGTTAACTGAGTTTGTTGTGGGGTTAGAGAAGGTATAGCTTGAGATGAAGCAACTGTGTTGGTGTTTGTTCTAGCGGATCAGTTAACTGAGTTTGTTGTAGGGTTAGAGAAGCTATAGCTTGAGATGAAGCAACTGTGTTGGTGTTTGTTCTAGCGGATTGGTTAACTGAGTTTGTTGTGGGGTTAGAGAAGGTATAGCTAAAGATGAAGCAACTGTGTTGGTGTTTGTTCTAGCAGATTGGTTAACTGAGTTTGTTGTAGGGTTAGAGAAGGTGTAGCTTGAGATGAAGCAACTGTGTTGGTGTTTGTTCTAGCGGATTGGTTAACTGAGTTTGTTGTAGGGTTAGAGAAGGTATAGCTAGAGATGAAGCAACTGTGTTGGTGTTTGTTCTAGCGGATCAGTTAACTGAGTTTGTTGTAGGGTTAGAGAAGGTATAGCTAGAGATGAAGCAACTGTGTTGGTGTTTGTTCTAGCGGATCAGTTAACTGAGTTTGTTGTAGGGTTAGAGAAGGTATAGCTTGAGATGAAGCAACTGTGTTGGTGTTTGTTCTAGCGGATCAGTTAACTGAGTTTGTTGTAGGGTTAGAGAAGGTATAGCTAGAGATGAAGCAACTGTGTTGGTGTTTGTTCTAGCGGATTGGTTAACTGAGTTTGTTGTAGGGTTAGAGAAGGTATAGCTAGAGATGAAGCAACTGTGTTGGTGTTTGTTCTAGCGGATCAGTTAACTGAGTTTGTTGTAGGGTTAGAGAAGGTATAGCTTGAGATGAAGCAACTGTGTTGGTGTTTGTTCTAGCGGATTGGTTAACTGAGTATGTTGTGGGGTTAGAGAAGGTATAGCTAGAGATGAAGCAACTGTGTTGGTGTTTGTTCTAGCAGATTGGTTAACTGAGTTTGTTGTAGGGTTAGAGAAGGTATAGCTAGAGATGAAGCAACTGTGTTGGTGTTTGTTCTAGCGGATCAGTTAACTGAGTTTGTTGTAGGGTTAGAGAAGGTATAGCTAGAGATGAAGCAACTGTGTTGGTGTTTGTTCTAGCAGATCAGTTAACTGAGTTTGTTGTGGGGTTAGAGAAGGTGTAGCTTGAGATGAAGCAACTGTGTTGGTGTTTGTTCTAGCGGATCAGTTAACTGAGTTTGTTGTAGGGTTAGAGAAGGTATAGCTAGAGATGAAGCAACTGTGTTGGTGTTTGTTCTAGCGGATCAGTTAACTGAGTTTGTTGTATGGTTAGAGAAGGTATAGCTTGAGATGAAGCAACTGTGTTGGTGTTTGTTCTAGCGGATTGGTTAACTGAGTTTGTTGTAGGGTTAGAGAAGGTATAGCTAGAGATGAAGCAACTGTGTTGGTGTTTGTTCTAGCGGATCAGTTAACAGACTTTGTTGTGGGGTTAGAGAAGGTATAGCTTGAGATGAAGCAACTGTGTTGGTGTTTGTTCTAGCGGATCAGTTAACTGAGTTTGTTGTAGGGTTAGAGAAGGTATAGCTAGAGATTAAGCAACTGTGTTGGTGTTTGTTCTAGCGGATCAGTTAACTGAGTTTGTTGTGGGGTTAGAGAAGGTAAAGCTTCAGATCAAACAACTGTGTTGGTGTTTGTTCTAGCGGATCAGTTAACTGAGTTTGTTGTTGAGATCTTTTTCTTTTACTATATTTCTTTCATTATCCTGTATGCCTTTTGTATTCAGTTTACTTTCAGTTAATGACTTTTGCACTTTCTTTTACTGACTTGTACTTTTTTTTTTAACTTTTTTTTTTTTAACTTACACTTTTATTTAGCAATTTATACTTTCATTAGCGATTTATACTTTCATTTAGCAACTATTCATTTATTTACTTATACTTTCATTTATTGGCGTATACTTCATTCAGTGATTCATAATTTCAATCAGTGGTTTATACTTTCATTTAGTGATTCATACTTTTATTCAGTGATTTATGCTTTCATTCAGTGATTTATAATTTCATTTATTGACTTATACTTTAATTTTTTTTTTAAGATTTATATTTTCATTACTGATTTATGCTTTCATTTCTTGATTCATACTTTCGTTTCCTTCATTTACTGGTTAATACCTTTATTTAGTGATTTATACCCTTATGTACTGATTGTATACTTTTATTTACTGATTTATACTTCCATTTACTAATTTTAGACTTTTATTTACTGATTTTTAATTTAATTTATTGATATTTTCATTTACTGTTTTTTACTTTCATTTGCTTAGTTATACTCTCATTTTATAATTTATAATTTCATATACTGACTGGTACTTTTATTTATTATTGACATATATATTCATTTATTGATTTATACTTTTAATTACTAATTTATACTGTCTTGTAATGACTTATACTTTCAGTTCCTGAATGTTACACTGTCATTTACTGAATTTAATCGAATTTTATACTTTCCTGTACTGACTTTTATACCTTTATTTACTGACTTTTATACTTTAATTTACTGACTTTTATACCTTCATTTACTGACTGATATATTTAGCTACTGACAAACTATCAGTTTCAAACACTTGTACACTTAAATTTGTTGAGTTTCTGATACTTTCAGTGCGGAAGAAAGCCAGTCAACACGTTCTGGTAGACGGAAACATCATCACCACCATCGAGAGCATTTCCGCACCGAAGATTTAATCATGAGGAGGCAGAAGGGCAGTGAGGTGGTGTTGAGTGAAAACTTCAAGATTTCCCCAACGGAATCGGAGGAGGCTAACATGTTGTACAAGGCTGATTTGGATGAGATGACCAGTAGGTTGTTGTCCAGTCTGTGAAGTGTTTTTTGTTTTTGTTTTTGGTTAATGTTTCTTAATGACTTTTTATTTTAAGACAAGGGTAGCCATGGTGTTGGGGTCTCATCCTCTAATAAAGCTCCCACTCCTAGTAGCACAAAATATGGCATGTAACTGAGAAAAATGAAACATGGGCTCCCAGTTTAACAAGTAGCAAGCATTGGGTATATGTGACTCTAAGTTAGGGAGGTGGGGGCTCCCAGTTTAACAAGTAACAAGCATTGAGTATATGTGACTCTTAATCTAGGGTGACAGGGGCTCCAGTTTAACAAGTAACAAGTATTGAGTATATGTGAGTTAGGGAGACATGGCACCCCAGTTTAACAAGTAACAAGCATTGAGTATATGTGAGTTAGGGAGACATGGCACCCCAGTTTAACAAGTAACAAGCATTAAGTATATGTGAGTTAGGGAGACATGGCACCCCAGTTTAACAAGTAACAAGTATTGAGTATATGTGAGTTAGGGAGACATGGCACCCCAGTTTAACAAGTAACAAGCATTGAGTATATGTGAGTTAGGGAGACATGGCACCCCAGTTTAACAAGTAACAAGCATTGAGTATATGTGAGTTAGGGAGACATGGCACCCCAGTTTAACAAGTAGCAAGCATTGGGTATATGTGACTCTAAGTTAGGGAGACATGGCACCCCAGTTTAACAAGTAACAAGCATTGAGTATATGTGACTCTTAATCTAGGGTGACAGGGGCTCCAGTTTAACAAGTAACAAGTATTGAGTATATGTGACTCTTAAGTTAGGGAGACAGGGGCTCCAGTTTAACAAGTGACAAGCATTGAGTATATGTGACTCTTAAGTTAGGCAGACAAGGGCCCCAGTTTAACAAGTAACAAGCATTGAGTATATGTGACTCTAAGTTAGGGAGGTGGGGGCTCCCAGTTTAACAAGTAACAAGCATTGAGTATATGTGACTCTAAGTTAGGGAGACATGGCACCCCAGTTTAACAAGTAACAAGCATTGAGTATATGTGACTCTAAGTTAGGGAGGTGGGGGCTCCCAGTTTAACAAGTAACAAGCATTGAGTATATGTGACTCTTAATCTAGGGTGACAGGGGCTCCAGTTTAACAAGTAACAAGTATTGAGTATATGTGACTCTTAAGTTAGGGAGACAGGGGCTCCAGTTTAACAAGTGACAAGCATTGAGTATATGTGACTCTTAAGTTAGGCAGACAAGGGCCCCAGTTTAACAAGTAACAAGCATTGAGTATATGTGACTCTAAGTTAGGGAGGTGGGGGCTCCCAGTTTAACAAGTAACAAGCATTGAGTATATGTGACTCTAAGTTAGGGAGACATGGCACCCCAGTTTAACAAGTAACAAGCATTGAGTATATGTGACTCTAAGTTAGGGAGGTGGGGGCTCCCAGTTTAACAAGTAACAAGCATTGAGTATATGTGACTCTTAATCTAGGGTGACAGGGGCTCCAGTTTAACAAGTAACAAGTATTGAGTATATGTGACTCTTAAGTTAGGGAGACAGGGGCTCCAGTTTAACAAGTGACAAGCATTGAGTATATGTGACTCTTAAGTTAGGCAGACAAGGGCCCCAGTTTAACAAGTAACAAGCATTGAGTATATGTGACTCTAAGTTAGGGAGACAGGGACTCCAGTTTAACAAGTAACAAGCATTGAGTATATGTGACTCTAAGTTAGGGAGAGTAGCAAGTATTGAGTATATGTGACTCTAATTTAGGGAGAGTAGCAAGTATTGAGTATATGTGACTCTAAGTTAGGGAGAGTAACAAGCATTGAGTATATGTGACTCTAAGTTAGGGAGAGTTGCAAGTATTAAGTATATGTGACTCTAAGTTAGGGAGAGTAACAAGCATTGAGTATATGTGACTCTAAGTTAGGGAGAGTAGCAAGTATTGAGTATTTGTGACTCTTAAGTTAGGGTGACAGGGGCTCCAGTTTAACAAGTAACAAGTATTGAGTATATGTGACTCTTAAGTTAGGGAGACAGGGGCCCCAGTTTAACAAGTAACAAGCATTGAGTAAAAGTGACTCTAAGTTAGGGAGAAAGGGACTCCAGTTTAACAAGTAACAAGCATTGAGTATATGTGACTCTAAGTTAGGGAGAGTAGCAAGTATTGAGTATATGTGACTCTTAAGTTAGGGAAACAGGGGCTCCAGTTTATCTAGTAGCAAGCATTGAGTATATGTGACTCTTAAGTTAGGGAGACAGGGGCCCCAGTTTAACAAGTAACAAGCATTGAGTATATGTGACTCTTAAGTTAGGGAGAAAGGGACTCCAGTTTAACAAGTAACAAGCATTGAGTATATGTGACTCTAAGTTAGGGAGAGTAGCAAGTATTGAGTATATGTGACTCTAAGCTAGGGAGAGTAGCAAGTATTGAGTATATGTGACTCTTAAGTTAGGGTGACAGGGGCTCCAGTTTAACAAGTAACAAGTATTGAGTATATGTGACTCTTAAGTTAGGGAGACAGGGGCCCCAGTTTAACAAGTAACAAGCATTGAGTATATGTGACTCTAAGTAAGAGAAAAAGGGACTCCAGTTTAACAAGTAACAAGCATTGAGTATATGTGACTCTAAGTTAGGGAGAGTAGCAAGTATTGAGTAAATGTGACTCTTAAGTTAGGGAGACAGGGGCTCCAGTTTATCTAGTAGCAAGCATTGAGTATATGTGACTCTAAGTTAGGGAGACGGGGCTCCCAGTTTAACAAGTAACAAGCATGGAGTATATGTGACTCTAAGTTAGGGAGACGGGGCTCCAGTTCCTGAAGTATGGAAGATTGTGTGCACTGATCAGTTCAACAGAGGCAGATGGAAGCACATGCTCCTAACCTAACAAGCCCAAACTATTTCTGTAAAAAGACCATTCTTATGTCTTTTGGACATTGGTATGAGAGTCCCACCATGGTAAAAACTGGAGCTTCCACACATAATATTCTCAAAGACATCAGCAGATGCACCTGTTCACTGCAGCCAATCTTGGTTGTGTAAACAGCAGACGGTTTATTTATTTACTGTACATGTCAAATTAACAAGGATACAAGTGCCAGTCCTGCTGTTACACCGTATAATCTTAGTGTGGGAACATCAGATATGTGGTATTTTTAGTCTAAATCGTAATATATTGGTAAAATATTTGCAATATGTGTGAATAAAATATCTGACAGTATACACATAAAACCTATTGAATAGATAAAAATATCTGACAGCATACACATAAAACCTATTGAATGGGTAAAACTATCTGACAATATACACATAAAACCTATTGAATGGATAAAACTATCTGACAGTATACACATAAAACCTATTGAATGGGTAAAACTATCTGACAGTATACACATAAAACCTATTGAATGGATAAAACTATCTGACAGTATACACATAAAACTTATTGAATGGGTAAAACTATCTGACAATATACACATAAAACCTATTGAATGGGTAAAACTATCTGACAGTATACACATCAAACCTATTGAATGGATAAAACTATCTGACAGTATACACATCAAACCTATTGAATGGATAAAACTATCTGACAGTATACATATCAAACCTATTGAATGGATAAAACTATCTAACAGTATACACATCAAACCTATTGAATGGATAAAACTATCTGACAGGTCACAGGTTTGAGGATCAGAGAGGCATCAGGCGGCACAAAATTGGACGCAAGAAGGGAGCCTTCCAGTCTGTTGTACACATGGGCAAAAGCCACCATGAGAAGAAACCCAGGCCCGCCAAGAAATACGACCACAGCCCTCATGAGGTAGCCAATGAATTTCTCATTGTTTTCCTTCTTTCTGTCTCTCTCATTCTCCTGCCTTTGACCCTCTCATTGTGTCGGGTACCCTCAAATATTTCATACTACTATGCCATCCTTTACTATCTCTTGTTCATGCTTACATGTTTTTCTCAAGCTCTCATGAAATTTTACGTTATATGGTCACAGTCAGCATCACTGCACATTGGGCATTCCCATGCGTGTTCAGTTCTCTGAGACAGCAGCCACTCCAGAGTATTTCTGATTGTTCCCAAACTCTCATGTTTGTAGCAGTCTTTTTCCTCTCATGTCTGTAGTGATCTTTTCTGAGTGATTCTGTCGGTTTTTTCTATCACTTTCAAGAGCAGGGCACTACAACTGGCAGCCCATGGGCTGAATCTGGCCTGCAGAAGCCTAGCAAGTGGACTGTGGATCATGGCCAGTTGTGTTGTAGTAATGATCATTCTATACTGGGGCTCTCATTCTCATTGTCCACATTTTGACCCCTAAGAACAGTTGGTTGTTTAGTCCTGCTCTAGAGTAGAAACATCCTGTCATGGCTGGCAGAATTAATCACCTCTTCAATTATTTGTTGATGACTTATTGATGACTGATTACAAAGGTGAACTCTGATCTTTAATTATATGGTGCAGCCACTGTCCACATCAGCCATCCTATTAGTGCCTTGTTATGACTATTATTTACTTTGACCTCTCCATCGGCTTTCTAGCCACAGTGATGTTTGAACAGTTACAGAAGAGGAAAACTTTACATCAAGAAGGAGTCAAGCTGCTTACCTTGCTGTCTTGAGGCTAGCTGCTCTGCCAAGACAGATCAGAACCAGATGAGATTAAAGCAGGTGCCATAAAGTTCATCCACTCACTCGGAATCACACTGTTTTTGTCAGTTAATGGTTATTTCTATCAGATCAACAGTTGGCACAGTTTTAATTTCACTGTAATGGACATTTCTGTACCCACTCTTTAATCCCATTACACACTGGACCCACTCTTTCATCCCATTACACACTGGACCCACTCTTTAATCCCATTACACACTGGACCCACTCTTTAATCCCATTACACACTGGACCCACTCTTTCATCCCATTACACACTGGACCCAGTCTTTAATCCCATTACACATTGGACCCACTCTTTAATCCCATTGCACACTGGACCCACTCTGTCATCCCATTGCACACTGGACCCACTCTTTAATCCCATTGCACACTGGACCCACTCTTTCATCCCATTGCACACTAGACCCACTCTTTCATCCCATTACACAATCAATTTTCAAAAGTTGTTTGTGCCAGAATTTAAATAAATCATTTCTGATTGGTTTTGACATGCTGATTTAAATACCATAATGAAATTTACCAGTTGGCTTACATTTTTCAAGTTCATATATATAATGTTTTAAAAAGAAACATTTGAACCTTTCCGTCATTATTCAGGCGTTGTGCAAGCTCTGTTTGCTTACTTCTTGTAGTCACTTGATGTGGTGTCTCTTGTCATTGATCACTGGTGTTATGAGAGCTAGTAGACTGAAATGGTTGGGGCATACTAAAAGAATGTCAGATGACAGAGAAGTAAAACTGTATGCACAAACAAGGGAGCTGAATGGTTGTAGACCACCAGACAGACTAAGAAGATGATGGAGAGATAATTTTCAGACAGACCTGCAAACACTTGGTGTCACCAAATGGAAAGAAAAGTTCAACTAGAGAGATGAATGGAAGAGGGTGTGGTATCTGCAGCAATAAACCTCAAGGGCTCAGAATGCTGAAGAAGAAGCTTCTGTCGGATGAGCTCCACTTTGGTGGAGATGATTATACACAAAGGTTATGCAATCATAGGTAGGACTGCATCATCAACTTGTGGTTACAGTTTTAATGGTCATTAGAAAAACAATTATGCAGCCGGCCACAACAGTTGCATGTTTATCTCTGCCTCTCTTCCTCATCTGTTTTGTGCTTTTAGGCCTCCCTTGATCTTTTTTTCAGTGTGGGTTCCTGTGCAAAACTCTTGTTATATACTGCGTTGTTGATTTTTGGCATTCTTCATCGAATGCTGTAGATCTTCATCGACATTCACCACTTTTAAAAAAACAAAGTGGTTTGGGGGGAGGGGGGGGGGGGAGGAGCAAACATTGTGTTGTGGTTTACAGCTTGGCTGTGATATCTGTGCCTTTTGATCCAACAGTAAACCCCTAATAAGTTGCCTTTTATAACGCGCTTGTTACAGGGCTGTTTGTCTGCCCCCAACCCCCTCCCCTGATACAAATTAGATCCCAGAACCCAAACAGGGACAATACTGTAGATGAGTAGAGGTCACACACAAAACTAGAAGGTGTCCTCATGAAAGTAACAGTTGCTGAAGCTGATTAGAAGAACACTTTCAATACCACCAACCTTGTTGATAACAGCAAAGATCCAACCACTCTTTCAATACCACCAACCTTGTTGATAACAGCACAGATCCAACCACTCTTTCTTGCTGTTTCAGGTTAGAGCTGATCTGGGAAGCTCTACACACCAATACTACCACAGTCTTGGGGAATGTCTGTCAGCACCAGCCACTTGTCTGCACCTCTTACTTAGTTCTCTCCCTGAGCTCAGCATTGGCAGTTCTTCTTTCCTACACAACAACTTGTTAATGAATGTTTGTAGTTTATGAGTTGAGTAGTACAATGGGTTAATTGCTGTATCTCAGGTGTTTGTAGTTTATGAGTTGAGTAGTACAGTGTGTGTATTGTTGTATCCCAGGTGTTTGTGGAGCTGGATGAGCTCCACTTTGCAGGAGATGACATGATGGAATGGAGGGAAAAAGCCAGATGGATCAAGTTTGAGGAAGATGTGGAGGAGGGAGCAGAAAGATGGGGCAAGCCACATGTGGCGTCGTTGTCATTTCATTCCCTGCTTGAACTACGCAGAGGATTAGAGCGAGGTATGTAAGCCTGTGATGTCTTCATGTTTACCCATCGGGGAGTTGTCATTTTGATAAATGTTGCTTGTCGATTATTTATCTTGTTTTCTTTTCTGTTTTGACCTTGTTTTCTGTTTTGCTTCTTCATTTCCTTCCCTCAGTAAAAGGGTAATTCACCCTCACTGCACATGAAACCAATCAGTCCATAAGCTTATATTCCCTGATTGTATGCCTAACCTTGTGGCAGCTGTGTAGGTTTGTTGGTCCTCTCTGCTCCTTCCCCTCCCCTTATCATAGCACTTCTGACTTCAGCCCTTTTGGATTGAATGTCCTCACAGTCTGGTCACAGTTGCATTTGTGTGTACATTACAGTGAAACTGTGTCAGTTCAGCTAAAGCTGAAGCTTGTGCTGTTGCAGTTTGTAATGGAGATTTCATGACAGAATTACCACAGAGATAAGTGATTTTATTTACTGTTCTTATTTGTAATTGTATCATTGCTTTGTATTGGGTGCTGTTGAAGGTTTGCTAGCTGCAAGTTTATTTTGTTATTCATATTTGTGGAACTGACTGGCTCTACCTCTTGCTTGGGTTGATATTTTGTAATTCATGTTTGTGGAACTGTGGAACTGACTGGCTCTACCTCTTGCTTGGGTTGATATTTTGTAATTCATGTTTGTGGTACTGTGGAACTGACTGGCTCTACCTCTTGCTTGGGTTGATATTTTGTCATTCATGTTTGTGGTACTGTGGAACTGACTGGCTCTACCTCTTGCTTGGGTTGATATTTTGTCATTCATGTTTGTGGTACTGTGGAACTGACTGGCTCTACCTCTTGCTTGGGTTGATATTTTTTCATTCATGTTTGTGGTACTGTGGAACTGACTGGCTCTAACTCTTGCTTGGGTTGATATTTTGTCATTCATGTTTGTGGTACTGTGGAACTGACTGGCTCTACTTCTCACTGGAATTGATATTCTTAAACATATTTGTGTAGAGCCTCAGCTGCTGGAGCTATTTGTATGAAAAGATAGCTGCATAGCAATGATTACCTCACGTATTAAATACCATTATACATGAGTGAGCTTACCTGTTTTACTGTCATCTTTGGTTGCCAGACAATTCCAGGATGGGTTCTGGGGCACCAGATTTGATGAAAAAAGAATAATAGACTCACTGCCCTACTGACTGGCATATCCTTTTTAACTAATTACAGGTTTGCAGTAAACCACAACGCAACATGCCAGTTTCCATTGTATTGGTGAATGCAGAAGGTGGAAATATTCCCACATAATTCCCAGAAAGTTATGAAAATTGGTGCCATTTGTTAACCTCAGTGATGTACTCATTTGAAAAGATAACTTTGCATCTACTTGTGGTCGAACCTGGGTCACAGTTTTAGCAGGGGGCACACTAAACAGGTCCAGAAACTTGTTTGATTTCTGTTGTGGAAATATCAATGCCACTTCTTCTTTTTAGCCTTCACCAGCTGTAAACTCTGGCAAAAAGGTGTGGCTGTTCATCCACTTCAGGATTTTGGTCTTGTTCCCAGACTTGAATTTTTCATGCACATCTATTGTAGATCTGGCTTATTTGTTTGCATTGTTAGCTTCTCACCTCTCGGGCAGATACACTTTGTCTTCCAAGCTCGGGCAGATACACTTTGTCTTCCAAGCTCGGGCAGATACACTTTGTCTTCCAAGCTCGGGCAGATACACTTTGTCTTCCAAGCTCGGGCAGATACACTTTGTCTTCCAAGCTCGGGCAGATACACTTTGTCTTCCAAGCTCGGGCAGATACACTTTGTCTTCCAAGCTCGGGCAGATACACTTTGTCTTCCAAGGAAATACTACTAATTGGTTAACTTTTGTGACATATTTATTGGGGGGGGGGGGGGGGGGGCTGTTTTCCTTCAAAGTTGGCCATGGAACCTACATGGAAATTCAGTGATGCTAAAGTTGTATATATTTCTAGGCTGTGTCCATTGAGTGCCACTAAAGTTGTATGTATTTCTTGCCTCTGTGTATTGAATGCCACTAAAGTTGTATGTATTTATGGCCTTTGTCTATTGAATGCCACTAAAGATTTATGTATTTCTTGGCTCTGTCCATCGAATGCCACTAAAGTTGTATGTATTTCTTGGCTCTGTCCCTTGAATGCCACTAATGTTGTATGTATTTCTTGGCTCTGTTCATTGAATGCCACTAAAGTTGTATGTATTTCTTGGCACTGTCCCTTGAATGCCACTAAAGTTGTATGTATTTCTTGGCTCTGTCCCTTGAATGCCACTAAAGTTGTATGTATTTCTTGACTCTGTCCATTGAATGCCACTAATGTGTATCTACAGGAACTCTGTTGTTGGACCTGGAAGCCAATGACCTGACATCAATCATCCACAGCGTGGTGGAGAACCTGGTCATCAGGGATTTAGTGGAGGAGGAAGTCAAGGGAAAACTGCTACGTACTCTGCTGCTGAAGCACAAGTAGGTTTCCTGCTGTTTTGCAACATTTGTCTGCTGTGATAGTTTCCAGATCTGCTCGACACCCGCATGATTGGTTTAGCTCAACAGTAAACCCCTCAAACTGAATGTGTTGGGCTGTAATGGGGGATATTTTCGACCCAGTTTAGGATGGTTGGGGGTAAGGCCCAAAGCTGAGGGAAAACACCGAGATAGTCCAGATACTTGGATTAAACGAGAATCTGGAGATAGGTGACTAACCACTAGTTATCACGGGGACCACGGTGATGCGACCCAAGGTCGCCACGGGAAAAGTAAAGGACCACCACGTGTTGTCACGTGGAAGGAACCCGTGGTATAAGTCAGATTTGACTCTGGTCAAGTTTAGTTTTGTGTCGACCTGTTGGAGCGAGAGGACGAGCGTCTGAATGTGCGAATGTCTACGTGAGTGCCTGAGGAGAAAGGAGACCTGCCGACGAAGTGTTAAGCTGAGATCGACCATGCCAGCGTGTGAGATGTCCAAACGTCAGTGTTGAATCCATGGGACCCATCGTTGCTTGAATGCCTGCAGAAGACTGTTCGTTAAAGGCTGCGTGAGTTTGTGTACGAAAGCGGTTCAATTAGACATCGACTGGACTATTCTGTTTGTCGTAAGTTTTAATACGTCAATAAAGTCATGTCTCGTAAGCTCACATCGGTGTCGGCTTGTGCCAGTTGTGTAACGTGAAGCGTGTGAGAATATCATCCACCACACACGCATGAACACCGCCTAGACAGCGAGAACCACATACAAACCACTTATTACAATTGGGGGCTCGTCCGGGATAATAATACTCACTGGGCATGACAACTGATAAAAGTTCCAAAGGGAAAACATGAATTACCCAAAAGGGGTGGAATAAATTTTTTACCCATGATACCAGTGAAAATACCCAAGCATTACATAAAATATACTCCTATCCATTAACGATAATGAGAAAAAAAAAAGTAAACTTTTTTTTATACGGGGAAGGGAGAATGTAATGGGGGATATTTTCGACCCAGTTTAGGATGGTTGGGGGGAAGGCCCAAAGCTGATCGAAAACACCGAGATAGTCCAGATACTTGGATTAAACGAGAATCTGGAGATAGGTGACTAACCACTAGTTATCACGGGGACCATGGTGATGCGACCCAAGGTCGCCACGGGAAAAGTAAAGGACCACCACGTGTTGTCACGTGGAAGGAACCCGTGGTATAAGTCAGACTTGACTCTGGTCAAGTTTAGTTTTGTGTCGACCTGTTGGAGCGAGAGGACGAGCGTCTGAATGTGCGAATGTCTACGTGAGTGCCTGAGGAGAAAGGAGACCTGCCGACGAAGTGTTAAGCTGAGATCGACCATGCCAGCGTGTGAGATGTCCAAACGTCAGTGTTGAATCCATGGGACCCATCGTTGCTTGAATGCCTGCAGAAGACTGTTCGTTAAAGGCTGCGTGAGTTTTTGTACGAAAGCGGTTCAATTAGACATCGACTGGACTATTCTGTTTGTCGTAAGTTTTAATACGTCAATAAAGTCATGTCTCGTAAGCTCACATCGGTGTCGGCTTGTGCCAGTTGTGTAACGTTAAGCGTGTGAGAATATCATCCACCACACACGCATGAACACCGCCTAGACAGCGAGAACCACATACAAACCACTTATTACATGGGCCGAAAAGCGCAGATATCACAGTATAGCTGTAAATCCCAAAGCAACGTGCCAACCTCACATTTAAGTGCAAATACAAAAGCAGAAGAAAATAGAGACTTTTCTCTGGACCCAATCTCTGCAAGAGTTAAATAATATTCACTAGTATTATTGTTCAGTGAAATCCCTAATCCAGTCAACACTGAGGCCCTTGAGGGTTTACTGTATATTTGTTTGTTGTTTTTCATGTTGAAATACTCAGTTAACAAGCTACTTTGGGAAGATTATGTTGTAACTATTTTACTTATTGAAGTGTTGTAAACATTTAAAAGTAGAAATAATTCAGACTTAAAGTCTTCTTCTTTGTTCCCCTTTAACAGCATGATTGGATTGTTGTGTTGTGGTTTACAGCTCAGTCGCAATATCTGCCTCTCAGCCCAGCACATCTGGTTTTAGCAGAAGCCTAATGAGCCTTTTTTTTTTTTACATGCTTGTTAGGATACAGCAGATCTAGTGGGTCTCGTTAGGTCGCAGCGGGTCTAGTGGGTCTTGTTAGGATACAGTGGATCTAGTGGGTCTTGATAGGTCACAACAGGTCTTGTTAGGATACAGCGGATCTAGTGGGTCTTGTTAGGTCACAGCGGGCCTAGTGGGTCTTGTTAGGTCACAGCAGGCCTAGTGGGTCTTGTTAGGTCGCAGCAGGTCTAGTGGGTCTCGTTAGGTTGCAGCGGGTCTAGTGGGTCTTGTTAGGATACAGCAGATCTAGTGGGTCTCGTTAGGTCGCAGCAGGTCTAGTGGGTCTTGTTAGGATACAGCGGATCTAGTGGGTCTTGTTAGGTCGCAGCAGGTCTAGTGGGTCTTGTTAGGATACAGCGGGTCTAGTGGGTCTTGTTAGGATACAGCGGATCTAGTGGGTCTTGTTAGGTCACAGTGGGTCTTGTTAGGTCACAGTGGGTCTTGTTAGGTTGCAGCAGGTCTAGTGGGTCTTGTTAGGATACAGCGGATCTAGTGGGTCTTGTTAGGTCGCAGCAGGTCTAGTGGGTCTTGTTAGGTCACAGCAGGTCTAGTGGGTCTTGTTAGGATGCAGCGGATCTAGTGGGTCTTGTTAGGATACAGCTGGTCTAGTGGGTCTTGTTAGGATACAGTGGATTTAGTGGGTCTTGTTAGGTCACAGTGGGTCTTGTTAGGTCACAGTGGGTCTTGTTAGGTCACAGTGGGTCTTGTTAGGTCACAGTGGGTCTTGTTAGGATACAGCGGATCTAGTGGGTCTTGTTAGGTCACAGTGGGTCTTGTTAGGATACAGCGGATCTAGTGGGTCTTGTTAGGTCACAGTGGGTCTTGTTAGGATACAGCGGGTCTAGTGGGTCTTGTTAGGATACAGCGAGTCTAGTTTGTCTTGTTAGGATACAGCGGGTCTAGTGGGTCTTGTTAGGTCACAGCGGGTCTAGTGGGTCTTGTTAGGATACAGCAGATCTAGTGGGTCTTGTTAGGTCACAGCGGGCCTAGTGGGTCTTGTTAGGTCACAGCGGGTCTAGTGGGTCTTGTTAGGTCACAGCGGGCCTAGTGGGTCTTGTTAGGTTGCAGCGGGTCTAGTGGGTCTTGTTAGGTGACAGTGGGTCTTGTTAGGTGACAGTGGGTCTTGTTAGGTCACAGTGGGTCTAGTGGGTCTTGTTAGGTTGCAGCGGGTCTTGTTAGGTCACAGTGGGTCTTGTTAGGTCACAGTGGGTCTAGTGGGTCTTGTTAGGATACAGCGGATCTAGTGGGTCTTGTTAAGATACAGCGGATCTAGTGGGTCTTGTTAGGTCACAGTGGGTCTTGTTAGGTCACAGTGGGTCTTGTTAGGTCACAGTGGGTCATGTTAGGATACAGCGGATCTAGTGGGTCTTGTTAGGTCACAGTGGGTCTTGTTAGGATACAGCAGATCTAGTGGGTCTTGTTAGGTCGCAGTGGGTCTTGTTAGGATACAGCGGATCTAGTGGGTCTTGTTAGGTCACAGTGGGTCTTGTTAGGATACAGCGGGTCTAGTGGGTCTTGTTAGGATACAGCGGATCTAGTGGGTCTTGTTAGGTCACAGCGGGCCTAGTGGGTCTTGTTAGGTCACAGCGGGTCTAGTGGGTCTTGTTAGGTCACAGCGGGCCTAGTGGGTCTTGTTAGGTTGCAGCGGGTCTAGTGGGTCTTGTTAGGTCACAGTGGGTCTTGTTAGATGACAGTGGGTCTTGTTAGGTCACAGTGGGTCTTGTTAGGTTGCAGCGGGTCTAGTGGGTCTTGTTAGGTGACAGCGGGTCTAGTCGGTCTTGTTAGGTGAGAGTGGGTCTAGTCGGTCTTGTTAGGTGAGAGTGGTTCTTATTAGGTGACAGCTGGTCTAGTGCGTCTTGTTAGGTGACAGCTGGTCTAGTGGATCTTGTTAGGTCACAGTGGGTCTTGTTAGGTTGCAGCGGGTCTAGTGGGTTTTGTTAGGTGACAGCTGGTCTAGTGGGTCTTGTTAGGTGAGAGTGGGTCTAGTGGGTCTTATTATGTGACAGCAGTCTAGTGGGTCTTGTTAGGTGACAGCGAGTCTAGTGGGTCTTGTTAGATGACAGTGGGTCTAGTGGGTCTTATAAGGTTACAGCGGATCTAGTGGGTCTGATTTGTTAGCACCCCAGAACCGACACATGGAAGACTACATATCAAATGAAGGATCTCTTTGATGCACAAAGCTGTTTTTTGGTGCATACTGCCAGCCCTATTTCTTTGCTATTTTACTTGGTCTACCCAGTCTGAACTGAGTACCAGGAAATTTTCTTGGAAGTAAAGGTGACTAAGGAATAAACTAGCACCATCTACCCACAGAACATCATGGTGGGGATAGGAGGTCATTGATCTCAGTACTTTATACTGAGGCAGAAGTGGTTAGTGTTAGATCTGATTGTTGTTACATTGTCTTGTTTATTTTCTTTTAAAGTTAAAGAGAACTGACTTTATTTATTGTACTGAGTTTTATATCAGGTGGCTCAGTCTCTGTCTGCAGAGTGGCTAGCCACTGATGGCCATCTTCACACTGGTGGCACATTGGGCATAGATCCACTTTGGAGACCTAAGTCAGATATTTAAAAAAATGTGCTTTTATTTTGCTACTGCAGCTCTTAGATTTCATGTATTTGTTTTTAAAATCTGTTGTAATTGTGGCTTGTCTGAGATGATGCAGTTGCTTACTTTTGTAGCATTGCATTTCTTTAATATAATAGTTTTGCTGTTGCAGATTTGTATAAAGATGTCAAGTAGGAATTCATTCTAAGATATCTTCAGCATGGCAGATCAGTTGTTTATGTTTTTTCTAATGCAGTGTTGCCTCCCATTTCTCCCACCTCCGTTTGCTGAAGCTTTTATTTATTTATTGCTTCCAGAGAGCTCCAAGTTGTTGAGTTGTATTTTATTCATTTATGTAATGCCCTTCCTCGTCTACAGTAACATGTACAGGCACATAAGGAGAATTTTTCCTTTGTAGCAACATTTTCAGCGAACCATGAATTATTCAGCTTTGTTGATCAGCTTTAGCTGTACTTAAATTCTGACATAGGTCATGGAGAAGCATGTAAGACATGGAACAGAAGTTTGAAAATAAATGCCTGAGGAAATTGATGGACATTAAATGGGATGAATCAAGAAAGGTGCAGAATAAAGATAAATACCTGGACAACCAGTGGTATCAGCACTTATAAGACAGAGAAGATGTCTGGACAACCTGTGGTGTCAGCAGTTATAAGACAGAAGATGTCTGGGCAACCAGTGGTGTCAGCAGTTATAAGACAGAGAAGATGTCTGGGCAACCAGTGGTGTCAGCAGTTATAAGACAGAGAAGATGTCTGGGCAACCAGTGGTGTCAGCAGTTATAAGACAGAGAAGATGTCTGGGCAACCAGTGGTGTCAGCAGTTATAAGACAGAGAAGATGTCTGGACAACCTGTGGTGTCAGCAGTTATAAGACAGAGAAGATGTATGGGCAACCAGTGGTGTCAGCAGTTATAAGACAGAGAAGATGTCTGGGCAACCAGTGGTGTCAGCAGTTATAAGACAGAGAAGATGTCTGGACAACCTGTGGTGTCAGCAGTTATAAGACAGAGAAGATGTATGGACAACCTGTGGTGTCAGCAGTTATAAGACAGAGAAGATGTATGGGCAACCAGTGGTGTCAGCAGTTATAAGACAGAGAAGATGTCTGGGCAACCAGTGGTGTCAGCAGTTATAAGACAGAGAAGATGTCTGGGCAACCAGTGGTGTCAGCAGTTATAAGACAGAGAAGATGTCTGGACAACCTGTGGTGTCAGCAGTTATAAGACAGAGAAGATGTATGGGCAACCAGTGGTGTCAGCAGTTATAAGACAGAGAAGATGTCTGGGCAACCAGTGGTGTCAGCAGTTATAAGACAGAGAAGATGTCTGGACAACCTGTGGTGTCAGCAGTTATAAGACAGAGAAGATGTATGGGCAACCAGTGGTGTCAGCAGTTATAAGACAGAGAAGATGTATGGGCAACCAGTGGTGTCAGCAGTTATAAGGCAGAGAAGATATTTGACAACCTGTGGTGTCAGCAGTTATAAGACAGAGAAGATGTCTGGGCAACCATTGGTGTCAGCAGATATAAGACAGAGAAGATGTCTGGGCAACCATTGGTGTCAGCAGTTATAAGGCAGAGAAGATGTATGGGCAACCACTGGTGTCAGCAGTTATAAGGCAGAGAAGATATTTGACAACCTGTGGTGTCAGCAGTTATAAGACAGAGAAGATTGTGCAGTATTGGGCATATCCTGAGAAGACGGGAACAGGGAGTCAACGAACAGCTACTGAAATGGGAAACAGATGGACAGAGGAAACATGAACATCCAAAGAAACCCTAAACTGGATGTTATGAGAAAGGCCAAAGGTGCCAAAGGTTTGCACAGGATAGAAGGAAATAGAAGAAAAGACTTCAAGCCCTTTATGACATGTATTGCCACAACAGAATGTGGGGATGATGATGATGAGGAAGCTACCTGATCATTCCATTCTGTAGTTTCCATTGTTTCCTGCTGCCTTGCAGGATGTTCATGTTGAAACGAAGCTAGTGGGGGCACACCAGACACAAACTGGGGGGGGGGGGGGGCACACCATACACAAACTGGGGGGGGGGGGCAACTCTAGGGGGCACACCATACACAAGCTGGGGGGGGGGGGGGACAACTCTAGGGGGCAAACCATACACAAACTGGGGGGGCAACTCTAGGGGGCACACCATACACAAACTGGGGGGCAACTCTAGGGGGCACACCATACACAAACTGGGGGGGGGGGGGGCAACTCTAGGGGGCACACCATACACAAACCGGGGGGCAACTCTAGGGGGCACACCATACACAAGCTGGGGGGGGGGGGGGACAACTCTAGGGGGCAAACCATACACAAACTGGGGGGGCAACTCTAGGGGGCACACCATACACAAACTGGGGGGCAACTCTAGGGGGCACACCATACACAAACTGGGGGGCAACTCTAGGGGGCACACCATACACAAACGGGGGGGGGGCAACTCTAGGGGGCACACCATACACAAACTGGGCAACTCTAGTGCAAAACTGCCAACTTATTTTTTGTCTCTAGTGACTCATTCATGTTTAAATGAAACTAGTGGAGGAACACCATACACAAACTGGGCAACTCTAGGGCAAAACTGCCAACTCATTTTTTGTCTCTAGTAACTCATTCATGTTTAAACGAAACTAGTGGAGGAACACCATACACAAACTGGGCAACTCTAGGGCAAAACTGCCAACTCATTTTTTGTCTCTAGTAACTCATTTATGTTTACCAATTAACTCAACAGTCATTGATTGCTCAGCACAGATGTTTTTGTAATGGTGAACAAATGTCAAATAACGGGTGTCTTTCTACTGCACTAACTCCACGTTACAGGCATGTCAATGGGCGGTCAGCCTTCCTGCGCCGCAACTTATCGTATGTTAACTTGGCCAGCATGGATAGTTCCGCAAAAAGGTTTCACAGACATTTTCTCAGTTTGCTCGTAGATTATCCTCTATCCCCACAAGATGGTTAGCATTCTGTAGTGGCTAATGAATTTCACCACAAGATATGATTTAACCATTAGTTTCTCTAATACTAAATCTACCTGACCACATCAAAGTTGCATGCACTCAAAGCATGCGGGTATGGCTTAATACAGTTGCTTCCATATTGCCAGTTTGAATTTTTCTTAATTTTTTGGTTTCATATAAATTTGTTTGACCTCTGACATTTACATTTGTTTTAGCATGATTTTTTCAAAATTATTATTTTGGTTGTAGATTTTTCCCTTTTTTTCTCTGTAGTTTATTTGTTTCTATCAGCTAGATTTTTCTTGCATGATACTAGGTTTGGCATGTTGTTTGAGAGAATAGAATGAGAAATTGCATGCATTATAGACCTTGGGTATACTTAAAAGATGTCTGTCTGACTCTGATGTGAAGTCGAGATATGCCCATTGGAACAATGCGACGTGAAGTCCATGCAAGAGCTCAAACTGCTACATTAGCCAATGCAGAACAGGAGTCGTTTGCTTAAACACATTCAGAATACTAAGGAGAAGACAGAGCACTTAGAGTGTGCCCAGCATGCAGTATGATGACCCTCAGGTCAACAGTAAACAATGAAATATCTACAGGGTCATCTTGGATTCCTGAGAGGGTTTGCTCTGTCTGCCACACGCAGCTCATGGTGTTTCATTGACTTTACCTCTTGAATCTTAACCTTTGCACCACATCATTTTTTTTTTATAATTTTTTTTTTACTCTTGGCTACTCTAAATGTGTCCCTCTCAGAGGACACTTGCTTTATGTCTTTACCCTCTTTGCCAGGATTGGACTGAGTGTTCTCAGGGGACACTTGCTTTATGTCTTTAGCCTATTTGCCAGGATTGGACTGAGCGTTCTCAGGGGACACTTGCTTTATGTCTTTAGCCTATTTGCCAGGATTGGACTGAGCGTTCTCAGGGGACACTTGCTTTATGTCTTTAGCCTATTTGCCAGGATTGGACTGAGCGTTCTCAGGGGACACTTGCTTTATGTCTTTAACCTCTTTGCCAGGAATGTACCTATGTTTTTAGTGGTTAGTTGTCTCTTCAGGCATCTGCCACACAATGTGATGGGTCGGGTGAGTTAGTGACCAATTGTCGTTGATGGGTTGGGTGAGTTAGTGACCAGTTATCGTTGATGGGTTGGGTGAGTTAGTGACCAGTTATCGTTGATTGGTTATGTGAGTTAGTAGTGACCAGTTATCGTTGATTGGTTATGTGAGTTAGTGACCAGTTATCGTTGATGGGTTGGGTGAGTTAGTGACCAGTTATCGTTGATGGGTCAGGTGAGTTAGTGACCAGTTATCGTTGATGGGTCGGGTGAGTTAGTGACCAGTTATCGTTGATGGGTTGGGTGAGTTAGTGACCAGTTATCGTTGATTGGTTATGTGAGTTAGTGACCAGTTATCGTTGATTGGTTATGTGAGTTAGTGACCAGTTATCGTTGATTGGTTATGTGAGTTAGTGACCAGTTATCGTTGATGGGTCAGGTGAGTTAGTGACCAGTTATCGTTGATGGGTCAGGTGAGTTAGTGACCAGTTATCGTTGATTGGTTATGTGAGTTAGTGACCAGTTATCGTTGATTGGTTATGTGAGTTAGTGACCAGTTATCGTTGATGGGTCAGGTGAGTTAGTGACCAGTTATCGTTGATTGGTTATGTGAGTTAGTGACCAGTTATCGTTGATTGGTTATGTGAGTTAGTGACCAGTTATCGTTGATGGGTCAGGTGAGTTAGTGACCAGTTATCGTTGATTAGTTATGTGAGTTAGTGACCAGTTATCGTTAATGGTTTGGGTGAGTTAGTGACCAGTTATCGTTGATGGGTCAGGTGAGTTAGTGACCAGTTATCGTTGATGGGTCGGGTGAGTTAGTGACCAGTTATCGTTGATGGGTCAGGTGAGTTAGTGACCAGTTATCGTTGATGGGTTGGGTGAGTTAGTGACCAGTTATTGTTGATGGGTCAGGTGAGTTAGTGACCAGTTATCGTTGATGGGTCAGGTGAGTTAGTGACAAGTTATCGTTGATGGGTTGGGTGAGTTAGTGACCAGTTATCGTTGATGGGTCGGGTGAGTTAGTGACCAGTTATCGTTGATGGGTCAGGTGAGTTAGTGACCAGTTATCATTGATTGGTTATGTGAGTTAGTGACCAGTTATCGTTGATTGGTTATGTGAGTTAGTGACCAGTTATCGTTGATGGGTTGGGTGAGTTAGTGACCAGTTATCATTGATGGGTTGGGCGAGTTAGTGACCAGTTATCGTTGATGGGTTGGGTGAGTTAGTGACCAGTTATCGTTGATTGGTTATGTGAGTTAGTGACCAGTTATCGTTGATTGGTTATGTGAGTTAGTGACCAGTTATCGTTGATGGGTTGGGTGAGTTAGTGACCAGTTATCGTTGATTGGTTATGTGAGTTAGTGACCAGTTATCGTTGATTGGTTATGTGAGTTAGTGACCAGTTATCGTTGATTGGTTATGTGAGTTAGTGACCAGTTATCGTTGATTGGTTATGTGAGTTAGTGACCAGTTATCGTTGATTGGTTATGTGAGTTAGTGACCAGTTATCGTTGATTGGTTATGTGAGTTAGTGACCAGTTATCGTTGATTGGTTATGTGAGTTAGTGACCAGTTATCGTTGATGGGTCGGGTGAGTTAGTGACCAGTTATCGTTGATGGGTTGGGTGAGTTAGTGACCATTTGTCGTTGATGGGTCAGGTGAGTTAGTGACCAGTTATCGTTGATGGGTTGGGTGAGTTAGTGACCAGTTGTCTTATAGTGAAAGAGTTTTAAACATGGGTCAGGTGAGTTAGTGTCCAGTTGTCTTATAGTGAAAGAGTTTTAAACATGGGTCGGGTGAGTTAGTGACCAGTTGTCTTATAGTGAAAGAGTTTTAAACATGGGTCGGGTGAGTTAGTGACCAGTTGTCTTATAGTGAAAGAGTTTTAAACATGGGTCAGGTGAGTTAGTGACCAGTTATCGTTGATGGGTTGGGTGAGTTAAGGACCAGTTGTCTTGTAGTGAAAATACCCTAACAGGGCCTCAGTCATATGTAAATTGTTGACCTCTTTCCGGCAACTATACCGCCACTGCTAGGAGTATTCCCCGCGCTGCTACGCTGGGACTCACGAGCAAACAAAATGGAGGAAGCTGCAGGAGATGAGGTAGCTGCTGCTTGTGAGTCCCATCCATCTAATTTAGCTCCTCCCTCCACGCTATGTGTTGCGACGTGGGGGAAACTCTTGTCAGTGACTTTAACTCTGCAAAAACTTGTGCGGTGTGTTAGCCAGAAAGAGGTCAACAATTTACATATGACTGAGGCCCTGTTAGGGTATTTTCTTAGCCTCGATGATTTGGGACCTTTATTCAGAGGAAAGCCAAATTTTCCGAAATATTTGTATGTAATATTAGAACTTAATTTATTTATTTTTTTCTGTATTCTTGTTATCAGCAAACAGTGTTTTTGTTTTTTCTTTTAATTTTTTTTTAAATTATTTATAAATATATTCTGTGTCACTTTTACATAAACTGTATATAATCTGGGTGTGTAGTTACAATGTGTACACACTGACACGGCTTTGTGCACATCTGTTACACACACACACACACACACATATTTTTCCCCTTCACACATGCATGGATGTACACTTACACACATATACACTTGTTTGCTTACAGCTTATGTGTAAAAACCTGTTCTTACATGGTTGGCTCTGGGTCTCTATGGCATATATTGTTCATACGCACCCACATGTAATCTTGTATCTTGCAACTTGTATGTAACTAGAATTCTGTATGTGATTAGTATCCTAGAGTTTCCCTGCGGACACATGTATCTTTCATTTACTTCTAGCCTCACTCATATTGTGGTAAATTCTCACAGTTTATTAGTAACTGTACGTAATAATGTGACTCTTGAACTGAGTCTTGTTTCTCTCTGCATGTACCCAATGTGTTAGGGCAGTGGCATCCAGAGTCTGAGGAATAAGGGTCGCCACCAAGGTTAGGATTTTTATTTTTGTCCCTGACAACAACAAAAACTTCCAACATCTAACTGAGGATTCAAACTTATGTCTCTTGCTTGAGAACTCTGTATTCTAGCCATACAGTTGGCCACCCCTTTTGAATTGAGTCAGGGTAAAGTTTTAATACTAACCTTATTATTCAAAGTCACTGTTGACATTGAAAGAGAAGAGCTAATCGTACTGTATTTGTTGGGACTGCCCGAGTTAACATAAGTTCATTCTCATGTGGCTGCTGTAACATGTGACCAGACTTTAGTCTGCTAGCCTGAAAGTCTAAGGTTCAAGTCTACATTAAGGTAGCTATTTTTATCTTTAAATGGATCTTTGCTCTGAGGTTGACCCAGCGTAAAGTGGGCAGCAGTAATGACATCAAGTATGATGTTAATCACATTCCACCCGTGGAGTTCTGAGCCATCTAGACAAATACAGTTCTTTCTTTATGTATCTGTTGCACTTAAGATGGGACAGGCTCCTTGACTTGACTCATACTAATACTGAAAACATTGTTTTATGTTTGTGCTTGATTGCCCAGTTCTGTTCTCTTCATCGTTGCTTCTCTTGTCCCTGCAGACACCAGCAGCACGACAAGGGGTTGCTGAGTTCCATATCCCAGAGCAGTTTTGGTTCCACCTTTGGTCTGAACAAATCTCCAAGCCAGCTGTCCATCATCGACAAGAAACGCAGAGAGGGCAAAGCAGCGGCCAAACTGGAGATGGTCAAAGTGGATGTGGACAACAACATGGTGGGTCTATATGACTGTGGCTGTCCTGTCTTCATGGGGATCAAGACTGTAAGACTCGTGTGTGTTTGAAACTGAAGTTTCCTGGTTTCAGAATGAACATTCTAACACTCAGGGCACACCCATAGATGGTCTGCCTCCACAGCAAATGTCTGCAGGTCTAGACACTGACTGTTCCAGTAGCTCACTTGTTCGTATGTTCTGCCTTTCCTTGTCTACTTCCTTTCTTGCTGGATGCACACATTATTCTAAATTCACACAACTTTACATATGTTTCATCTAACCTGCATATTCCTGCAGCAGTGGTTCATCAGTGGACTTCAGAAGAATGCCTTATCCAGTGCGAGTGTTCCTACTGTTGTCACTTTTGTAACCAGACAGACCATGGAGTAGTTTTCCCCCAGATGATGTTCATCCCCAACATTTTCATAACCAGACAAACCATGGAGTAGTTTTCTCCTAGATAATTTTTATCCCCAACATTTTCATAACCAGACAAACCATGGAGTAGTTTTCTCCTAGATAATTTTTATCCCCAACATTTTCATAACCAGACAAACCATGGAGTAGTTTTCTCCTAGATAATTTTTATCCCCAACATTTTCATAACCAGACAAACCATGGAGTAGTTTTCTCCTAGATTATTTTTATCCCCAACATTTTCATAATCAGACAAACCATGGAGTAGTTTTCTCCTAGATGATGTTTGTCCCCAACATTTTCAGCTCTCACATGCACAAGTCATGAAACACAGCTTCATCAATGTAATATTTCTGCTAGTGTTTGCAGTATGTAAATAAAGGCTATCCCTAGGAATATATCCATGTGGTATATCATGTACACAGACAGTCTACAACTTTCTGTATTGTCTAAGCTGTGTGTACCTGGTCGTTTTTCCAGTTGCCTCTCAGAAATGGGTTGGATTAACACTAGGTTCTAGTAGAAATGGGTTGACTTTACCTCCAGATACTGGTAGAAATGGGTTAGATTCACATTTGGATACTAGTAGAAACTTATTGGATACACATTTGTATACTAGTATGAAACTTATTGGATACACACTTGTCTACTAGTAGAAACTTATTGGATACACATTTGTATACTAGTAGAAATGGACTGAGTTCACAATTAGGTATTAGTAAGAAATGGGTTGGATTCACAATGAGATACTAGGTAAGTGCCTTTTTAAACACATAAATACTAAATGGTTGTCTTGCTTGACTATTAAGTGGGATTGTTTCACAGTTCAGTTCTGTGAACTGGTAAGAAATTAGTTTGAACTGACAGACTGTTTACAGGAGAAATATTCTGATTGCTGACTGAAATACTCTTCTCTCAGACCACACATACTGAGGAGAACGACTCCGGCGTTGACTTTTCTCCCAATGCGACCCGTGCTGATTTGGTAATCGAGTTACAGTATTTTCAGTTTTGGACATTTAATGTTGGCTTTGCATGACAGTGTTCCACATCCCTGAGCTACTTGTTGTTTTAGTGATGCCTTCTTGACCACTAGCAGAGCATACATACTAACTTGCTGGGCTTTCAAAAACCTAACAGATTCTAGAAACAACTTTAAGCTTTAAAATGTTCAGCAGTTTTTGGAATGCTGGAAAATTGGCCCAAAGAATCAATTTAAAATACAAGATAAATACGGTTAGGTGACTGCTGGCTCCATTGTGTCTGGTCAGTTTGTAAAGGCTCCACCTCCTGCTTGTGGTATCCATGCAAACATGATAGGTTGCTACAGTCTGACGGAGAGAGTTGGCATAGAAGAGGGAGGGTGGTACAGTCTGACAGAGAGAGTTGGCATAGAAGAAGGAAGGTGGTACAGTCTGACGAAGAGAGTTGGCATAGAAGAGGGAGGGTGGTACAGTCTGAGAGAGTTGGCATAGAAGAAGGTGGATGGTACAGTCTGACTGAGAGAGTTGGAATAGAAGAGGGAGGGTGGTACAGTCTGACTGAGAGAGTTGGCATAGAAGAGGGAGGGTGGTACAGTCTGAGAGAGTTGGCATAGAAGAGGGAGGGTGGTACAGTCTGACAGAGAGAGTTGGCATAGAAGAAGGAGGGTGGTACAGTCTGACGAAGAGAGTTGGCATAGAAGAGGGAGGGTGGTACAGTCTGAGAGAGTTGGCATAGAAGAAGGTGGATGGTACAGTCTGACTGAGAGAGTTGGAATAGAAGAGGGAGGGTGGTACAGTCTGACTGAGAGAGTTGGCATAGAAGAGGGAGGGTGGTACAGTCTGACTGAGAGAGTTGGCATAGAAGAGGGAGGGTGGTACAGTCTGAGAGAGTTGGCATAGAAGAGGGAGGGTGGTACAGTCTGAAAGAGTTGACATAGAAGAGGGAGGGTGGTACAGTCTGAGAGAGTTGGCATAGAAGAGGGAGGGTGGTACAGACTGAGAGAGTTGGCATAGAAGAGGGAGGGTGGTACAGACTGAGAGAGTTGGCATAGAAGAGGGAGGGTGGTACAGTCTGACAGAGAGAGTTGGCATAGAAGAGGGAGGGTGGTACAGACTGAGAGAGTTGGCATAGAAGAGGGAGGGTGGTACAGTCTGACAGAGAGAGTTGACATAGAAGAGGGAGGGTGGTACAGACAGAGAGTTGGCATAGAAGAGGGAGGGTGGTACAGTCTGACTGAGAGAGTTGGCATAGAAGAGGGAGGGTGGTACAGTCTGAGAGAGTTGGCATAGAAGAGGGAGGGTGGTACAGTCTGAGAGAGTTGGCATAGAAGAGGGAGGGTGGTACAGTCTGAAGGAGTTGGCATAGAAGAGGGAGGGTGGTACTGACTGAGAGAGTTGGCATAGAAGAGGGAGGGTGGTACAGTCTGACAGAGAGAGTTTGCATAGAAGAGGGAGGGTGGTACAGTCTGACAGAGAGAGTTGGCATAGAAGAGGGTGGGTGGTACAGACTGAGAGAGTTGGCATAGAAGAGGGAGGGTGGTACAGTCTGAGAGAGTTGGCATAGAAGAGGGAGGGTGGTACAGACTGAGAGAGTTGGCATAGAAGAGGGAGGGTGGTACAGTCTGACAGAGAGAGTTGGCATAGAAGAGGGAGGGTGGTACAGACTGAGAGAGTTGGCATAGAAGAGGGAGGGTGGTACAGTCTGACAGAGAGAGTTGGCATAGAAGAGGGAGGGTGGTACAGTCTGAGAGAGTTGGCATAGAAAAAGGTGGATGGTACAAACTGAGAGAGTTGGCATAGAAGAGGGAGGGTGGTACAGTCTGAAGGAGTTGGCATAGAAGAGGGAGGGTGGTACAGTCTGAAGGAGTTGGCATAGAAGAGGGAGGGTGGTACTGACTGAGAGAGTTGGCATAGAAGAGGGAGGGTGGTACAATCTGACAGAGAGAGTTGGCATAGAAGAGGGAGGGTGGTACAGTCTGACAGAGAGAGTTGGCATAGAAGAGGGTGGGTGGTACAGTCTGACAGAGAGAGTTGGCATAGAAGAAGGAGGGTGGTACAGTCTGACAGAGAGAGTTGGCATAGAAGAAGGAGGGTGGTACAGACTGAGAGAGTTGGCATAGAAGAGGGAGGGTGGTTCAGTCTGACTGAGAGAGTTGGCATAGAAGAGGGAGGGTGGTACAGTCTGACTGAGAGAGTTGGGATAGAAGAGGGAGAGTGGTACAGTCTGACTGAGAGAGTTGGCATAGAAAAGGGAGGGTGGTACAAGAGATATACTTTGGACAGTGGAAACTGGAATTTACATTTGTTTGACCCAGGTCAGAAGCATGTCCTGTCGTGTTATTTTGTTGACCCCATCCTAAAATGTGTACCAGGCAATGTCCTGGGAAATAAAGGTAGACAGTGTGGTACTGACTGCATTATCCACCCAGTGTTTGACTACTTTACTTACTTATGCCAGCTAGTCAGACAGAACTAATACATAATATTGTTTTTGTATTCATAAAAATATGTATATGTATTAGTTGACTTACCAGTATGTTTTTTTTAGTGTTTGCTTGACAGAACTAAAACGTATTATTGTTTACATGTTCAGAAAAACATGAATTTCATATTGTTTGACTCACCAACTTGTTCAGCCTGTTTTTGTGTTCATGTATTGATATTTGCTTGGCAGATAGAACTAAAACATATGATTGTTTTCCCAGAACCATGTTATATGTATTCTGGTAGTATTGACGTGTGCCTAGCAGTTTAACAGTCAAGTGTAGCGTATTATAGCTCAGCTTTCTAACAGAAACCAGTTATTTGTCATGGTACTTGCTGCTAACTTACTCTCTCATCATTCACCCTCTTGTTTTGTCATGTTTAGAGATTGATGTGTTTTACTGTATGCACCATGGAGAGGAGCCAATCATGAAACAGGCACTTAAATGAGAAACAAATAGAGCCAGGAAGAGAGGATGTCCCAGAGAAAACCTTCAGCAAATGTCCATGAGAGAAAACTTTCAGCAAATGTTCATGAGAGAAAACCTTCAGCAAATGTTCATGAGAGAAAACCTTTATCAAATGTTCATGAGAAAAAACCTTCAGCAAATGTTCATGAGAAAAACCTTCAGCAAATGTTCATGAGAGAAAACCTTTATCAAATGTTCATGAGAAAAAAACTTTAGCAAATGTTCATGAGAAAAACCTTCAGCAAATGTTCATGAGAGAAAATCTTCAGCAAATGTTCATGAGAGAAAACCTTCAGCAAATGTTCATGAGAGAAAATCTTCAGCAAATGTTCATGAGAGAAAACCTTCAGCAAATGTTCATGAGAGAAAACCTTCAGCAAATGTTCATGAAAGAAAATCTTCAGCAAATGTTCATGAGAGAAAACCGTTAGCAAATGTTCATGAGAGAAAATCTTCAGCAAATGTTCATGAAAGAAAATCTTCAGCAAATGTTCATGAGAGAGAACCGTTAGCAAATGTTCATGAGAGAAAATCTTCAGCAAATGTTCATGAAAGAAAATCTTCAGCAAATGTTCATGAGAGAAAATCTTCAGCAAATGTTCATGAGAGATGCCTGACTGGATTCCATCCACGGTGTGGAGAAGTGTCACTGCATAGAAATAAACTAAGTATTCACCTGCAAGCCCCACAGTTGCACAGCAGGATGCTGGGCTAGTCATGTTGCTGTCAACCACTTCCTGTGGCTTCACCTGGTGCCCTTTAACAAGCTTGTTGTAACAGGTGACTAGCTAGGGATATGCTGAAATCAGACATGTTGTGTTGAAAGGTCCACATGTCACAGCCTAGCTGTAAACCACAACACAGCATGCTTTTAAAGGCGAACATAGAAGAAGATGAAGAAATGTGGATCCTGGACAGTTAGCAAAGCCCTTGCTGCTAAAGAAAGTGGTTTTACCAACCTAGACTTAGTGTATGCATGCTCTGCTGAATAATGATCTCTCTGCCTCTCACTGGGTGTGAAGTTTCAGTATTGACTTGGCACACCCCTCTGCCTTAAAGCTTATAAATTATATGTTTAAAAATCGGCTGAATAATGATCTCTCTACCTCTCACTGAGTGTGAAGTTTCAGTATTGACTTGGCACACCCCTCTGCCTTAAAGCTTATAAATTATATGTTTAAAAAACTGCTGAATAATGATCTCTCTACCTCTCACTGAGTGTGAAGTTTCAGTATTGACTTGGCACACCCCTCTGCCTTAACTCTTTGAGTCCCAAGGAACACATCATACGTTTATAGGTTACTGCCTAGAAGCCCAATGAACGCACGATGCGCTGATTTTACGTCTCTTTTGACTACCCCTTGGGCCTGTGATGCTAAACCCTCTGGGACTCGAAGAGTTAAAGCTTATAAATTATATGTTTAAAAATCCCTGGGATGATGGCACTTGGCTTTCTGTTTGGGAGAAAGTCTCTGCACCAGCTTGGCTGAGACGTATGCAAGTCTTCTTAGGGTTCCTGGGTTACCTGGCCACGATTGCATAATACTTGATAGCTGCCTATAGGGCCAGTCTGCAGAGTGGTTGGTGTAGGCCGCGATAGTTAACTCTGTCTTCTGGAGGCTTCACACAGGGCAGCAATAATAGAAGAATATTGCAGGCACACAATTAGCAAGCAATCTGTTGTCTCAGTGTTTGGAAGGTGGTTCACCCATATGAAACTGTCACAGGCATCAGAACCAAACAGTCCTCATGTGTTGGCTGTACTCTGGGAAGAGAACACGTGCATGTTGCGACAGGTGGTCAAATTTATGAGATAAAGGCCAGGGAGAGAAAGGGAAGGATGAAGACACAAAGAAAGAGACACAAACACACCATGGCCTGAAAAGTTATCAGTTCAAGAATTGATATAAAGTGGACAGAATTAGTGAGTAGGGAGTTGTGGTTGCCTGTGTTGTTAGACAGGGCACTTGATTAAAATGATGATGATGAACATGGTTTTTTTTCCTTCATATTTATGTGTGAATTGATTTCTTGCATTTTATCAAAAGTGTTACGGTTTGAAATTTGTAGCACACCAACACACACTTTGTATTCAGGCTGCTTGTATGCCTGGTACGTGCTATTAGTGCGCTAAAGTTCGCTTTGTATCAGTGCCTCATGTGTGTCTTTCTCTGCTAAAAGTTTGACTTTCTGTTTCTACCCTGATTTGTAGAAATTGTTTACATTCTTGTTCAGTCTTTGCTCTTCTACCTGGGAGGTAGAGGGGCTTACAGTCTTGTCTGGTCTTTTCTCTTCTACCCTGGGATGTAGAGATTGTTTAAATCCTTGTTTAATCTTTTTACTTCTAGCCTGGGGTGTAGAGATTGTTTAAATCCTTGTTTAATCTTTTCACTTCTAGCCTGGGATGTAGAGATTGTTTAAATCCTTTTTTAATCTTTTCACTTCTAGCCTGGGATGTAGAGATTGTTTAGTCTTTCTTGCAACCTGGGGTCTAGAGGTACCTTACAGACTCATCTTTTCTACTCAGGAATGTTGAGGTATCTTACAATCTTGATTCTAGTCTATTCTCACCTGAGATATCAGCATATTCTAGCCTCTCACAAACCAGGTCAGTACTTTGTGCTCTAGGGTAGAACAGGAACTTGATGTATAGTTGTTTGACAGTTTAGACATATTCACTATTTCAGAAGGCACATTAAATTTTAACCCTTTGAATTGTCAGAAATATGCCTGTTGAAGTGGCATACAGTCTCCTGTTGTTGTTTTTATTTACAAAAGTATCCATATGTTGTAGGTGTTTATGTATCACATAGCCAGAGTAGGACGTAAGGTAACAGTGATGTTTATATTTCACGTTTCATTGGTTTAGCCCTGTTCATATGTTATGTTGTTACATTTTGGTGCGTTTTTTTACAAGTCTGATGTTTATGTTGATATTTTCAAGTTCTTTAGACACACACAACACAGAAGAATGGAGTGTTATTGGACACTGCACACGTTTTGTAGACACACACAACACAGAAGCATGGAGAGTTATTGGACACTGCACATGTTTTGTAGACACACACAACACAGAAGCATGGAGAGTTATTGGACACTGCACACGTTTTGTAGACACACACAACACAGAAGCATGGAGAGTTATTGGACACTGCACATGTTTTGTAGACACACACAACACAGAAGCATGGAGAGTTATTGGACACTGCACATGTTTTGTAGACACACACAACACAGAAGCATGGAGAGTTATTGGACACTGCACATGTTTTGTAGACACACACAACACAGAAGCATGGAGAGTTATTGGACACTGCACACGTTTTGTAGACACACACAACACAGAAGCATGGAGAGTTATTGGACACTGCACACGTTCTGTAGACACACACAACACAGAAGCATGGAGAGTTATTGGACACTGCACATGTTTTGTAGACACACACAACACAGAAGCATGGAGAGTTATTGGACACTGCACATGTTTTGTAGACACACACAACACAGAAGCATGGAGAGTTATTGGACACTGCACATGTTTTGTAGACACACACAACACAGAAGCATGGAGAGTTATTGGACACTGCACATGTTTTGTAGACAACCATGTTACATTGAGATTCTTTATCAGCAACAAGTCTTATATTTGTCAGTTCCATAAAATGTCTGACCAGATCCCCAAGGAGGTCTATAAGCTCAATGATAAAAGTGCAGTGTGTAACTTTCAGAAACGTTTTTGGTTTCCAGAGCTCAGTGATTAAGCTATTTGCCTCATGCTCTGATTGTTGCTCATTTTCGTGGACTGCGTGTAGTGCATGGATGCAGTTTTTCTAAGATCTCTGGGGATCATCACTGGAGCTACGGTTCATGCTTTGTGTAACACTCTTGATCAGAGACCATCTGTTCTGCAGAGAGAGACCAAGCATATCAGTTAAAATCCAGTTTAATGAATTTCATTTGATGTGCTTGAAAACTTTCAGATATGAAGCCAGAGCTGTTTACTTTGTTCAGACCAAACATAAAAGGGTTCTTATTACAAAGTCTGTCTCCGGTGCTATAAGCGGCGATGTCCCATGTTTTATACTACACAACGATGCCACTTTTAAAGACACCATAATATTTAGAACTAGCCCTAACCCTAAACCCCCTACCCACAGCTTTAGCCTAGGTCCCACGGGAGAGTCCAGAGTGTGTCCCATGGTTTCAGAATTGTTAACATTTTCTGCTGCACCATAAAGACCCATCTTGCTGCAGAAAAGTAACCGTCTCCTTCGTGTCGTACATGAACTCCGTAATATACGCAGTGTCGCCGTCCGCTCGCAACAACAAGTGAAACACATTGCGTAGCTCGCCTCCTATACTGCGCACAGTATACAAAGCTCTTCATGAACACAAGAAACATGACACCCCTGTAACATAGACTAGCCCATGTCACAGGTGAGAAAGCATGAATGAAAGCCCAATTACACTTCACAACAAGTTCCGATAGAAGATGTAGTGACACATCATTGGTTAGTTTTCTCCTGTTGATTCCAGGGCCCCATTATGGGGAAAACAAGAATTCACCCACTGCCTCCCTAACAAGGATTTCCTAAGAGTCGACTAATTAGGGGCTTCCTTCAAATTTGTATTGCATCTGCATAAGAGGCAAAGAACCAACAGTCTGCATGCAGATAAGCCAGATCTGTAAAATGGATGTGCACGCAAAACTCAGTTTATGGAACAAGACTATGCTCCAAAAATAGACAAACAACATAACTTTTTGGAGCTGACAGTCAGAGAACCCAGAGAAGAAAGAAGAAGATACTTGTCTCCTCTTCTTGAGCATCTGTGTTTGAACAATTAAATCCTTTAGTGGCTTGTTAGAAACTACATCAACTCCTCTGTGACACTTTACTGCATGATCAGTAGCACAAAAGAAGAAGGTCAATCTTCAGCTAGCAGCCCAAAGTAGACAAACTGACCGATTGGTCAAGTACTGGGAAAAAGTCAAAGCAGCCAGTATGCTGCTGACCCCATGACCTATCGAGCGCTGATTGATCTGTAAAAATCTGGCACTAGCATTACTGCATTTGGAAAAGATGAGACTGATCACAGCATTGCTTGTTGTCTTTGTTTCTTGTAGACGGACAAGCACTCGGACGGCATTCATATTGGAATCACTCCTGTAGACCAGAAGAAGGATGTGCAGGACATTATGAGACGGATCCCTAAAGGTATGTCTGATCATAGATAACATGAGAAATACATTGACAGGTGATGATTGTCACTTGTAGAACTAGAAGGTAGCGGTAAACATTGAATGTGTTAGAAACACTGGGATGCAATCTTGCTGCCTTGAGTTGTCACAGCATTTCACTGACGGAAACACTGTTCACCTGGATGGCTTCTTCAGTGAGTGGGTTAATTTTATCTAACAGTTTAGTTAAACAGGTAAGACACTTGGAATTTAACAAACGATGTAGTATAAAACTTGACATATAGCTTTATTTACTAACAATCATTTAGGTCATGACCTTCACCAGTTTTTTATGTTTACACAAACAGTGACTGGCTGATGGTATGATAGTGATGAGATGCTTCAGCTAGAAAACTGAGCACCTGGGATTAGAGAAGTTATAATGGTGATAAGTTTACGAAAAAGATTTTTACGTAACTTATTATAAAACCTCGGACAGCCGTGAGGCACTGTCAAGGTTTTCCACCTCTTCCAGCTTCTTCCCAGCTGGTTCCACCTCCCTCTCTGCCTGTTCTGAGCTTGCCGATCTCACACAATGTAGGTTCATGCACGTGACCCTCTGGTTCTGCTATTAGAGCAGACTGGTCTTCACCCCGAAGGGAGCTGGAAACATTCCAGCAATTTCCAAACAGGACTCACAGCTAGAATTACTTTCTACTGTTGATCTGAGTTTCTGGCTTGCTGGCAGCACTATGAAGTAAAACTTAGATGCTAGCGTTATAAGTACCTATCTATTGTCCAAATTAAACTCCTCCCCTTTTTAGTATTTAACCTGTCCTACCGGAAAAGATCTTAAGCAACGCCCCAGAAGTACCTTGCAGATCAAATTAGCTATCAAGGTGCCTGTCAGTCAATTCTTGATGGCCACCACTCTGAGCAAACATTCTTAAGGGGCCCAATCTAGTTTCTAGCCAATCTTACTGACAGGTGTGAAACGATGGTCCAGGGGACGCTGCCACGTCTGGAGTTTCCTACATGACCAGGTTAATTCCCCTTATCTGTTGAAAGGGCTGAGGATGTAACCTTTATGACACTAGGGTCTGGTCTGCAGTTCAAGGAAGATAATCTCAGGGGGGATAATTAGTTGGTTTATCTGCTCCTAAAGGTCTGGCTAGGAGATAGTTATATGACACTTCAGTTCTACAATCAAACCCTACAGCCACTTTGCCTGAACTTTCCCAGGTAGACCAGCTGGTTATATTAGGTAATGTTAACCAAAGCTTAGTTGCTTTGTCTGAGCTAAGGACGGAAAACATTTTTAACAATTTAGTAATATTCCGGCTCAGGGCATAGTAAATATAATTCTCTGTCTCTCTTTAAACAGAAGAAATTATTACGCATACTAACTTCTGAAAACACTGAGGTCGTTTCATCACACTCTCATTCTCTCTCTCTCTCTCTCTCTCTCTCTCTCTCTCTCTCTCTCTCTCTCTCTCTCTCTCTCTCTCTCTCTCTCTCTCTCTCTCTCTCTCTCTCTCTCTCCCCTCCCTCTCTCACCCTTTCCCTTCCTCTCCCCCACCCTTTCCCTCCCTATTCCCATCTCTCTGTGTCTATGCATCTGTCTTTCAGCTTTATTCTTGTTACCTTTCTGTTTGTCTTTCATATTTCCTGTCTATGTTCCTGTGTAGCTCCTCTTCGGTCCCATATACAATACAATTGCTGTGTGAAAAATGTGTCTGTAGAAGGGAGAATATCGGATGGAACTGCATGCTCAGTTTGTGACTGTAAATATGGTTGGCTCTTTTGTTCATTGCACATGAAAAGGAATATGACTTTGTAATGTTGATTATTTGTAATTTTAGACAGTAAAGATTCCAAAGAGTCTCTCAGTATGGCTGCTCTGTCAGTGTCATATCCAAATTGTGAACATGTCTGACAATAGACTTGTGTGCTACTTACTCCTATACCACTAAGGTCTGCTGTACATAGATTTAGGTAGAACAGTTGCATAGATTCTGTTTCTAGTGTGTTCAGTGGATAGTGTCTTATGTTTTATTTGTACCTGTAATGTAATGTTTGAATTTGTGCAGGTTCTGAAGCCACTACTGTGTTGGTTGGTCAGGTGGATTTCTTGAAGAAGCCAGCAATGGCCTTTGTTCGCTTGGCCGAAGGGAGAATGCTGGAAAATTTGACAGAGGTGCCATTACCTGTTAGGTAGGATTCTAAATCATCATGTCAGGGCCTATCGCTTTATTCTGGTTGGTAGTATCTGACGTGAGATCACCATTGTTTGTTATCTGATGTGAGATCACCATTGTTTGTTATCTGACGTGAGATCACCATTGTTTGTTATCTGACGTGACATCACCATTGTTTGTTATCTGACGTGAGATCACCATTGTTTGTTATTTGACGTGAGATCACCATTGTTTGCTATCTGACGTGAGATCACCATTGTTTGTTATCTGCCGTGAGATCACCATTGTTTGTTATCTGACGTGAGATCACCATTGTTTGTTATCTGATGTGAGATCACCATTGTTTGTTATCTGACGTGAGATCACCATTGTTTGTTATCTGACGTGAGATCACCATTGTTTGTTATCTGATGTGAGATCACCATTGTTTGTTATCTGACGTGAGACCACTGTTGTTTATTATCTGACATGAGATCGCCATTGTTTGTTATCTGACATGACATCACCTTTGTTATCTGACGTGAGATCACCATTGTTTGTTATCTGACGTGACATCACCATTGTTTGTTATCTAACGTGAGATCACCATTGTTTGTTATCTGACGTGAGATTACCGTTGTTTGTTATCTGACGTGAAGTCACCATTGTTTGTAATCTGCCGTGAGATCACCATTGTTTGTTATCTGACGTGAGATCACCATTGTTTGTTATCTGACGTGAGATCACCATTGTTTGTTATCTGACGTGAGATCACCATTGTTTGTTATCTGACGTGAGATCACCATTGTTTGTTATCTGATGTGAGATCACCATTGTTTGTTATCTGACGTGAGATCACCATTGTTTGTTATCTGACGTGAGATCACCATTGTTTGTTATCTGACGTGAGATTACCATTGTTTGTTATCTGACATGAGATCACCATTGTTTGTTATCTGACGTGAGACCACCATTGTTTGTTATCTGATGTGAGATCACCATTGTTTGTTATCTGACGTGAGATCACCATTGTTTGTTATCTGACGTGAGATCACCATTGTTTGTTATCTGACGTGAGATTACCGTTGTTTGTTATCTGACGTGAGATCACCATAAATCTGTAAAATTATGGATCAAGCATCATATACCCAATGCACGACTGTTATAAAAGTGATCCTCTATTCTACTGACATTTCAAGACAGACACAAGTAACTACTGACATTTCAACACAGACACAGATAACTAACTACTGAAATTTCAAGACAGGCACAAGTAACTACTGACATTTCAAGAGAGACACAGATAACTACTGGCATTTCAACACAGACACAGATAACTACTGGCATTTCAACACAGACACAGATAACTACTGACATTTCAAGACAGACACAGGTAACTACTGACATTTCAAGACAGACACAGATAACTACTACCATTTCAGGACAGACACAAAAAACTACTGACATTTCAAGACAGACACAGATAACTACTGACATTTCAAGACAGACACAAGTAACTACTGACATTTCAAGACAGCCACAAATAACTACTGACATTTCAAGACAGACACAGATAACTACTGACATTTCAAAAGAGACACAGATAACTACTGACATTTCAACACAGATAACTACTGATATTTCAAGACAGCCACAAATAACTACTGACATTTCAAGACAGACACAGATAACTACTGACATTTCAAAAGAGACACAGATAACTACTGACATTTCAACACAGATAACTACTGATATTTCAAGACATACACTGGTAACTACTGACATTTCAAGACAGGCACTGGTAACTACTGACATTTCAAGACAGACACAGGTAACTACTGACATTTCAAGACAGACACAGGTAACTACCGACATTTCAAGACTGACGCAAATAACTACTGACATTTCAAGACAGACACAAATAACTACTGACATTTCAACACAGACACAGATAACTACTGACATTTCAAGGCAGACACAGATACCTACTGACATTTCAAGACAGACACAGATAACTACTGACATTTCAAGACAGACACAGATAACTACTGAAATTTCAACACAGACACAGATAACTACTGACATTTCAAGACAGACACAGATAACTACTGACATTTCAACACAGATAACTACCGACATTTCAACACAGATAACTACTGACACTTCAACACAGATAACTACTGACATTTCAACACAAATAACTACTGACATTTCAACACAGATAACTACTGACATTTCAACACAAATAACTACTGACATTTCAACACAAATAACTACTGACATTTCAACACAAATAACTACTGACATTTCAACACAGATAACTACTGACATTTCAACACAAATAACTACTGACATTTCAACACAAATAACTACTGACATTTCAAGACAGACACAAATACCTACTGACATTTCAAGACAGACACAAATACCTACTGACATTTCAAGACAGACACAAATACCTACTGACATTTCAACACAAATAACTACTGACATTTCAACACAGATAACTACTGACATTTCAACACAGATAACTACTGACATTTCAACACAAATAACTACTGACATTTCAACACAGATAACTACTGACATTTCAACACAGATAACTACTGACATTTCAACACAAATAACTACTGACATTTCAACACAAATAACTACTGACATTTCAACACAGATAACTACTGACATTTCAACACAAATAACTACTGACATTTCAACACAAATAACTACTGACATTTCAAGACAGACACAAATACCTACTGACATTTCAAGACAGACACAAATACCTACTGACATTTCAAGACAGACACAAATACCTACTGACATTTCAACACAAATAACTACTGACATTTCAACACAGATAACTACTGACATTTCAACACAGATAACTACTGACATTTCAACACAAATAACTACTGACATTTCAACACAAATAACTACTGACATTTCAACACAGATAACTACTGACATTTCAACACAAATAACTACTGACATTTCAACACAAATAACTACTGACATTTCAACACAAATAACTACTGACATTTCAACACAAATAACTACTGACATTTCAACACAAATAACTACTGACATTTCAAGACAGACACAAATACCTACTGACATTTCAACACAAATACCTACTGACATTTCAACACAAATAACTACTGACATTTCAACACAAATAACTACTGACATTTCAACACAAATAACTACTGACATTTCAACACAGATAACTACTGACATTTCAACACAAATAACTACTGACATTTCAATACAGACACATAACTACTGACATTTCAATACAGACACATAACTACTGACATTTCAACACAGACACAGATAACTACTGACATTTCAAAACAGACACAGATAACTACTGACTTTTCAACACAGACACAGACAACTACTGACATTTCAACACAGACACAGATAACTACTGACATTTCAACACAGACACAGATAACTACTGACATTTCCTTACAGACACAGATAACTACTGACATTTCAACACAGACACAGATAACTACTGACATTTCAAGACATACAAAGATAACTACCTGTTGACAAATAGTTACAGTGCCTAGAATCTCATGGATGGCGAAAATCACAGTCTTGTGGGATAAATCACTGAATACTCTCCTTTGTGAAGTTCATATATGAAAGATTCGATTTTTTGTCCTTTTTGATCACAGATTCATATTTATCCTGCTGGGTCCCGAGAAAGGAGGCATGGACTATCACGAAGTTGGGCGGTCCTTGTCTACTCTCATGTCCAATCAGGTCAGTTACGTCTGTCTGTCGTATCTCACTAGAGTTGATCATCAAGTCTTTTGGTTACTCTTTCTTCATGTCTAATTAGAGTCTTGATCATCAAAACTTCTCTGTTTCTGTCAGGTCTTCTTTTGACACTCTCATGCGGCACTAGAGTCTTGATCATGAAGTCTTCTTATATCTTTCATGTCTCACTAGTCTTCATCAAGTTTTCTCTGGATCTGTCATGCCTCACTAATTACATGATCATCAAGTTTACTCAGGATATGTCATGCCTCACTTATTACATGATCATCAAGTTTTCTCTAGATCTGTCATGCCTCACTAATTTCTTGATCATCAGGTTTTCTGTGGACCTGTCATGTCTCACTCATTTCATGATCATCAAGTTTTCTCCTGATCTGTCATGCCTCACTGATTTCAAGATCATCAAGTTTTCTCTGGATCTGTCATGCCTCGCTGATTTCATGATCATCAAGTTTTCTCTTGATCTGTCAGGCCTCACTGATTTCATGATCATCAAGTTTTCTCTGGATCTGTCATGCCTCACTGATTTCATGATCATCAAGTTTTCTCTGGATCTGTCAGGCCTCACTGATTTCATGATCATCAAGTTTTCTCTGGATCTGTCATGCCTCACTGATTTCATTTTCATCAAGTTTTCTCTGGATCTGTCATGCCTCACTAATTACATGATCATCAAGTTTTCTCTGGAATTGTCATGCCTTCCTAATTACATGATCATCAAGTTTTCTCTGGATCTGTCATGGCTCACTAATTTATTGATCATCAGGTTTTCTCTGGATCTGTCATGTCTCACTAATTTTGTGATCATCAAGTTTGCACTGTCATGTCTTTCTAAAGTCTTGATCATCAGGTCTTCTGTCCAGTCTCTAAACCACCACAGCTGCCAACCCTCTGGTAATCAGTTTGAATCCTTATGGAGGCTCATTTTTCCAAGTGACCTAGTTTGTCAGATCAGCCAGTCTGAAACTGAGACCAGGAACAGACATTCAAGAGAGCCAGCAAGATATTGACAGTGCCACCCATCATGTGCAGTCTGATTTATGCAAGGGTGCTTGTAACAAAGTCGGGCCCAGAAAGAGAATGTCTTCATTTGCCATTGATGCCTGGTCGCGTCACTGGCTCATTCCTATGTTACAGGGGTGTCACGCTTAGTTAGTGACTTGCCAGCAACGTAGCGAATTTTACACATTATTGTCAGTGGCTGGTAATATCGTTTGTTCTATGTTCCATAATGTGAGAGCTTTAAACAGCCCTAAAACATGTAGAACTTACCTATCCCGAATTCCCGTATGGAACATCTCAACCTATGTTCCACAAGACAGTGCAGCCTATGTCCCACGACTGCATGCAGCCCATGTCCCACGACTGCATGCAGCCTATGATAACAGCGCCTAAAAATTGCTGTGTTGCTGGACGTTCACTAAGCATGACACCCCCACAAGATAAGACAGGCCATGCAACACAACCATGCAATACTGGCAGGGGAAGTCACTCACTTTCTGGCCCGACTTCCTTACTAGAACCTGTACAAGTATGAGGCCAGCACCATTTGCATCAGATACAAGAGTTAAAATTGAGAAGATTCCCCAAATCAGACAGCTGTGTTTTTTTTATCACACTAACTTTTGCTACTTTCTATTTTTACTGCAACCAGCAATTTCACAGTGTGGCATATCGAGCTGAGACTCGGGAAGATCTTCTGAGAGCCATCAACAACTTTCTGGATGATTCCATTGTGCTGCCCCCTGGTGACTGGGACCATCGCACCTTGTTGCCCATCACCCACATGGCACGCAAGCGGGCACTGCTGCGCAAGCAGAAAAAACAGCAGTTGGAGGAGAAAGAAGGTGGGATACCACGTTTATTTAGATAGTAATATGTGTCCTGAAGTCCCATGTTCTAGTTGTGGAAGACTTCTCTGAACGTGAGCAGGTCGCGCTAGTCACACTCACTATCTCCATGTGCTGTGATTTCCATGTCTCCCCTAGCACAGTATAACACTTCTGGAAAGACAGAAAGATACAAACAAAAACAACAACAACAAAAGGTTGTGTTGTCACTTGGCTGTTTCATTTATTTTTTTTTCAGAAATATCTTGCCCCTTGTTTTAGACACATTGATATGTGCGTGTCTGCATCATGGTCATGCTGGCCTGTCACCCCGGTGGTTGTTGTTTCAGTCCCCATCGGAAAAGGGGGGGGGGGAGGGTTAAAAAGGACTTAAATGTTAACTGGAAAATGTCATGGGAAATAAAGGTGGCAGATTTTATACTGAACATGTCACCCATTGAATACCTGAAGAATTGTAAATAAATATGAACTAGAGGTATTCTTGAGTATCTAGAAATGAAACCTTGACTCTTCAGTTTACTGTCTCACTGTATAGATCTTTATGTCTGCAGCAGCAATGCTTCACAAGGAATGAGAAACTATATGTGTAATAAAAGATGACAGTGTCATACATCATGGTCAAACCTTCATACTTCATACAGGGCTTTCAGTCTAGTCTTCCATTCTGTTCTGTCTTGCACAGTCCTTTTGATTCTAATCAGAAGACAACAGACTGATAAATACATGATTGTCCTGGTAATGTCAGTTCCTCAAAGCAGAAACTTGAATACATTATGCTGTTGAGAGCAGAGAGTGACTTGTCCTCATTTGTTGCCATCAGAAATTGTCAGCAACCACTGACTTGTTGCAGCATATCCTGTGTTCCCCGCTGGCAAAGTATGGACAGTCAAGTATGGCTGACTGAGTGTGCATGATCTATAGATACTCTAGCACTTGGCATACATTTTGGTCTACACGTTGACCTCAGGATTTCTAGGAGGATGCAGGTGTGCTGATCCATGTGTAGTGCTGCACCAGGACGCAGGTGTGCTGATCCATATGTGGTGCTGCACCAGGATGGAGGTGTGCTGATCCGTGTGTAGTGCTGCACCAGGATGCAGGTGTGCTGATCCATATGTAGTGTTGCACCAGGATAGAGGTGTGCTGATCAATATGTAGTGCTGCACCAGGACGCAGGTGTGCTGATACATGTGTAGTGCTGCACCAGAACGCAGGTGTGCTGATCCATGTGTAGTGATGCACCAGGATGCAGGTGTGCTGATCCATATGTGGTGCTGCACCAGGATGCAGGTGTGCTGATCCATGTGTAGTGATGCACCAGGATGCAGGTGTGCTGATCCATATGTGGTGCTGCACCAGGATGCAGGTGTGCTGATCCATATGTGGTGCTGCACCAGAACGCAGGTGTGCTGATCCATGTGTAGTGCTGCACCAAGATGCAAGTGTGCTGATCCATGTGTAGTGCTGCACCAGGATTAAGGTGTGCTAATCCATGTGTAGTGCTGCACCAGGATGCAGGTGTGCTGATCCATATGTGGTGCTGCACCAGGACGCAGGTGTGCTGATCCGTATATAGTGCTGCACCAGGATGCAGGTGTGCTGATCCATATGTAGTGCTGCACCAGGATGGAGGTGTGCTGATCCATATGTAGTGCTGCACCAGAACGCAGGTGTGCTGATCCATGTGTAGTGCTGCGCCAAGATGCAAGTGTGCTGATCCATGTGTAGTGCTGCACCAGGATTAAGGTGTGCTGATCCATGTGTAGTGCTGCACCAGGATGCAGGTGTGCTGATCCATATGTGGTGCTGCACCAGGACGCAGGTGTGCTGATCCGTATATAGTGCTGCACCAGGATGCAGGTGTGCTGATCCATATGTGGTGCTGCACCAATATGCAGGTGTGCTGATTCGTATGTAGTGCTGCACCAGGATGCAGGTGTACTGATCCATGTGTAGTGTTGCACCAGAATGCAGGTGTGCTGATCCGTATGTGGTGCTGCACCAGGATGCAGGTGTGCTGATCCGTATGTAGTGCTGCACCAGGACGTGGGTGTGCTGATCCATGTGTAGTGTTGCACCAGAATGCAGGTGTGCTGATCCATGTGTAGTGCTGATCCATGTGTAGTGCTGCACCAGGATACGGGTGTGCTGATCCATGTGTAGTGCTGATCCATGTGTAGTGCTGCACCAGGATGCAGGTGTGCTGATCCATGTGTAGTGCTGCACCAGGATGCAGGTGTGCTGATCCATGTGTAGTGCTGCACCAGGATGCAGGTGTGCTGATCCATGTGTAGTGCTGCACCAGGATGCAGGTGTGCTGATCCGTGTGTAGTGCTGCACCAGGATGCGGGTGTGCTGATCCATGTGTAGTGCTGCACCAGGATGCAGGTGTGCTGATCCATGTGTAGTGCTGCACCAGGATGCAGGTGTGCTGATCCGTGTGTAGTGCTGCACCAGGATGCGGGTGTGCTGATCCAGGTGTAGTGCTGCACCAGGATGCAGGTGTGCTGATCCATGTGTAGTGCTGCACCAGGATGCAGGTGTGCTGATCCATGTGTAGTGCTGCACCAGGATGCAGGTGTGCTGATCCATGTGTAGTGCTGCACCAGGATGCAGGTGTGCTGATCCGTGTGTAGTGCTGCACCAGGATGCAGGTGTACTGATTCATGGGTAGTGCTGCACCAGGATGCGGGTGTGCTGATCCATGTGTAGTGCTGATCCATGTGTAGTGCTGCACCAGGATGCAGGTGTGCTGATACATGTGTAGCGCTGCACCAGGATGCAGGTGTGCTGATCCATGTGTAGTGTTGCACCAGGATGCAGGTGTGCTGATCCATGTGTAGTGCTGCACCAGGACGCAGGTGTGCTGATCCATGTGTGGTGCTGCACCAGGATGCAGGTGTGCTGATCCATGTGTAGTGCTGCACCAGGATGCAGGTGTGCTGATCCATGTGTAGTGCTGATCCATGTGTAGTGCTGCACCAAGATGCAGGTGTGCTGATCCATGTGTAGTGCTGATCCATGTGTAGTGCTGATCCATGTGTAGTGCTGATCCATGTGTAGTGCTGCACCAAGATGCAGGTGTGCTGATCCATGTGTAGTGTTGCACCAGTATGCAGGTGTGCTGATCCATGTGTAGTGCTGCACCAAGATGCAAGTGTGCTGATCCATGTGTAGTGTTGCACCAGGATGCAGGTGTGCTGATCCATGTGTAGTGTTGCACCAGGATGGAGGTGTGCTGATCCATGTGTAGTGTTGCACCAAGATGCAGGTGTGCTGATCCATGTGTAGTGCTGCACCAGGACACAGGTGTGCTGATTCATATGTGGTGCTGCACCAGGATGCAAGTGTGCTGATCCATGTGTAGTGTTGCACCAGGATGCAGGTGTGCTGATCCATGTGTAGTGTTGCACCAGTATGCAGGTGTACTGATCCATGTGTAGTGCTGCACCAGGACCGGGGTGCATACTGGTCAGAACCTGTGTGCACCTCTTCAAGGTCATCCTGTAGACAGGTTCCTTACCAATAGCCTGGCCAGTGTAGATAGGATCTACATTGCTTCAAAGTCTGACTGCCTCTGTCTGAAAGGCACACATGATAAACCAGGTCTGTAACATGGATCTGTAAGTAAGTAAATTTTACCCCACCAGGACAACACACAGAGCAATAAACACCCAGTGATTCAAAGTGCCACCATGCGGATGAGGATCACCCGTGGAGAGGTCCCAGAAACCATGTTGAACCCTCAGGCTATATTGCCGCCCCCGGCAAAAGGGTGTGGCTTCAAAGTAATGAAAGATTGCATCTCAAATAGAGACGACCTAGGTTAGCATATAAAACATGGATGTAGTAGTAGTAGATTTTTACCCCACTGGGACATCACACAAGCAATTACCACCCGATGACACAAAGTGCCACCATATGGATGAGGATCAACGTGGAGAGGTCCCAGAAACTGCATTCAGCCATTAGACCATATTTACGGTCAAGCTATATTGCAGCCTCTGGCAAGAGCCGGAGTAGGGCTTCAAATAACGAAAAATTACATCTCACAAGGAGATAACCGGACTCAAACATGTATGTCTGACTGACTGACTTTCTACCCCACCAGGACATCACACAAGCGATAAACACCCGATGACACAAAGTGCCACCATGTGGATGAGGATCACCGTGAAGAGGTCCCAGAAACCGCGTTCAGACAATTGGCCACATGTATAGCCTGCCTATAATACAGCCCCTGGCAAAAGCCAGAGTGGTGCTTCAAATAACAAAAAATTACGTCCTAAAAAAGGACGTAAGGAATAATGAAACATGTATGTATTGCATTGATCAGTGGCGATCATGGTAGGGCTTCCACTGGCGGGCTTCTTTTGTGGGCTACTCGCTGCTTGTGCTTTTCTTTTTCTTCGGTATCGGTGGCATTTTCGGCAGCTGACTGTTCTGCTTCTTCTGCTTCTGAGTTCTGTGCTGAGTTTTTGTATTCTTGATCAGATTCCTCGTACACTGGTGTTTGTGGTTTATTTGATGCAGCCACGATTTTCTCAATTCTATATACTTCATGTGTTATCTTCTGCTGTATTATGCTGAGTTCTTGAAGTGTTTCATGAGCCTTAAACAGATCATCTCGCATGTTGTAGATTTTTTCATCTTTGGCCTTTTTCGCCTCCTCTATGGCTAATAAATTCTGCAGTCCTAGAACTGTAGAGAGGGTTTCGGATTTTTGATTTGCCAGTTTGACGAATGCTTGGTGGGCGCCCTGGCTGGCTTGTGTCAGTATTCCCATCTCCTTTATTCGCACCGCCCCTTCTTCTTGTCGTTGCTTTTGTTCTGCTACCTGGGCTGCCTTCACACTTTCTATTAGTTCTTGGATGCTTTCTTTCGTTTCTGTATCCCGTTTGTGGTTTTCAGTTTTTTGTGCTTCAACTAGTTTTCTCACCTCCCCTTCTTCCTGTCGGCGCTTTTCGTCTGCTATCTGGGCGGCTCCTAGTCTGGTG